AATCACAAAGAATGCATCATATAACAGGAATCTTTTCTAAAATTTGTACAAAAAAAATAAAACTCGTTGGCAAAGATGAATTATCATGTGTTATTAAACCAGGACAAAAAGTGGTATTTTCTGCATATGGATTACAAATGGATCCAAAATATTGGCAAGAACCGGAAAAATTCAATCCCGAAAGATTTAATGAGGAAAATAATAAAACTAGACATAAATTTACATTTCTTCCATTTGGTGAAGGACCACGAGTGTGTGTTGGAATGAGAATGGGTGTGATTTTAATAAAAATGGCAGTTGCTGCTATTTTAAAAGATTTTTCCGTTGAGGTTTCACCAAAAATGATTTTTCCAATTGAAAAAGATGAATCGTCTTTTTTTAATTCTCCTAAAGGTGGATTTTGGGTAAACATCAGATCTTTAAATAACTAGTAAACTAACTAGTGCTTAATCTAATGACTAATAAATAGAAATTTATTAATTAAAACATTAAAAGTTGAATAATTTCTGCAATAGTAAAAAATTATCATTGATTTTATTTCAACATATTACTGTTATTATTATTATTATTATTATTATTATTTAATTACTGTAACAGAATAAATAAAATCCTCCAATTCCTAACAATCTTTTGAATTAAAATATAAAATATATCATCGGAAATTAAGAGAACAAGTGTAAATGTATAAAATTTATGGTTGTTCGGCTCAGTATCATTGCTCCAACTATTTATTCAATTCACTTTTAGACAAAAAAAAAAATTAATAATAAAATTTGTCGGTATGCGAAGAAACAAAAATTCATTAAAATGCACTGAATTTTTAGCGCGAATATCAGTGTAAAACTGTCTTGGAATCTGACAAGGATTTTCAAAAAATTTCAATTACTTCCGTATTCTTAAATGTTTCATTTAAAAAAAAAATGAATGAAAAAATTAATTTCAATTTGTAATTGAACAAACTGTGCAATGGGGAAGCACGTTAAAGAGCGCGTCCAATGTTCCACTTCTTGTGTGATGCGGAAGAGAACATAATTATTTTTTTGAATTTTGAAAAACTAATATCCCCCGAGTAACGTGTTTTAATGACAAAGCAGAATCCCAAGAAGCACGTAATATATCCTCAATATCAAGGTAATATTACACGTGAGATTCATTATATAACGCTGTAATATTACAGTAATCTTACAGTGATCTTAAAATGTCCGCCTCAAGGTAATATTAACAGTAATATTACAGACTGATTTGAGTTATTCATAAATCATAAAAAACGTAAATATATTATAAGTCAATTTGGCTTGTTGGTAAAACTCTGGACTCGTGTGCTTTGAGTTCGGGGTTCGATTCCCTGGATGGGTAGATTTTTTTCGTAAAGAAATGTTCCCATAATATTACTGTAATATTCTCTTGTAATATTACCTTAATATTACGGTACAATATTACTGCAATATTACTGTAATATTACCTTAATATTAGCGCGTAATATTACTGCAATATTACTGTAATATTACCTTAATATTAGCGCGTAATATTACAGTAACATTACCGGTAATATTACCTTGAGGCGTACATTTTAAGATCACTGTAAGATTACTGTAATATTACAACGTTATATTACGAATCTTACATGTAATATTACCTTGATATTGAGGTTATATTACGTGCTTCTTGGGATAGCTTAACCGGAATCGTAACCGCAAACGCAACCGGATTAATGAGTTAGAGAAGGACAAACAATATATCTATCCCCCTATTGAAAATCCCCACATGGGAAACCACATGGGAAACCACATGGGATCCTATGTCAAAAACTATGTAAAACCCCATTCCCCACATGGGAAACCACATGGGATCCCATATAAAAACTCATGGGAAATTGGGACAGGAATTGGCATAGGAAAATATCAAAACGAGGTTCCTCCATGTCATTTCCTATGTCAAATCCCATGTCAAATATCATGTTAAATACCATGTTAAATACTAATTGAGATCCTTTATCACTTTTTTGAAAAATTTTCCCATGTCAAACCCCATGTCATTTCCCAAGTAAAAACCTTTATCATTTTTTTGAAAAATTTTCCCATGTCATTTCCCATGTGAAATATTTATCATTTTTTTGAAAAATTTTCCCATGTCAAATCCTCTTTCGCCTTATCGAAAATACCCACATAGGAAAGCATATGGGAATCCACATGGGAAATGGAATACGATTTCATGTGCATTCTTCCAAATGATAAAACAAATAGATTTAAGCATAGGAAATCATATAAGATTTCATATAGATTCTGAAATTTCAACCTAAGATTTCACATGGATTTACATATAGGAAACGATATAGGATTTTATTCGGGAATTTTTTAGTTGGCTGCTTTATGCAGGCGGCAGTTTACAAAAAAAAATTAATTATTTGATTAAATATCAAATAATAATACTTCAACTCATCTGAAAATAAAAAAAAGTTTACTTTACTTCTGCCTTAGACTCTCAGCTTTTATAGTATTCCAGACTGATCTCAACTGTGAGAGAAAATATTTTCACCATCTGGTGGTGAAACAATGAAACTATAATGACGATGCTTAAATCTATTTGTTTTATCATTTGGAAGAATGCACATGAAATCGTATTCCATTTCCCATGTGGATTCCCATATGGTGTCCCATGTGGATTCCCATATGCTTTCCTATGTGGGTATTTTCGATAAGGCGAAAGAGGATTTGACATGGGAAAATTTTTCAAAAAAATGATAAAAGATTTCACATGGGAAATGACATGGGAAAATTTTTCAAAAAAATGATAAAGGTTTTTACTTGGGAAATGACATGGGGTTTGACATGGGAAAATTTTTCAAAAAAGTGATAAAGGATCTCAATTAGTATTTAACATGGTATTTAACATGATATTTGACATAAGATTTGACATAGGAAATGACATGGAGGAACCTCGTTTTGATATTTTCCTATGCCAATTCCTGTCCCAATTTCCCATGAGTTTTTGTATGGGATCCCATGTGGTTTCCCATGTGGGGAATGGGGTTTTACATAGTTTTTGACATAGGATCCCATGTGGTTTCCCATGTGGGGATTTTCAATAGGGCCTTTTCTAACTCATTGTTCCGGTTGCGTTTACGAGTACGATTTCGATTACGTTTCTATTCTGTTCAGGCCTTCAAGCACATCCGCCGAATTTAGAAATATGTCCGCCATTTTGAGTTTTTAAGCTTCAGATTCGTAAAGGCTGTAAAATGACGATGTTTGTGAAATGGTTTGTACAGTGCTTCTTCCTTGTGAGTGTCTCTCAGAGTTTTGTTTATGTTATGTCGGTTCTTTTTAACTTGTAATAAATAATGAGTGCTGAAAATAAATCGGTAAGTTGAAATGTTTATCAAATAAATTTAAATTCAACTAATTGTTTCGAATAACTGAAAGAAACATGTACACATGTACACTGTACAAACCATTTCACAAACATCGTCATTTTACACTTTCTTGTAGCAGAAAACGTTTTAAAGCAAAATTTGCTAAATTTTTTAATCAAACCATCTCTCTATCACTATTTTAAAGTGTTCTTACATATTAAAACAATTATTTAATATTATATTTCTTAAGAAAACATTTTTTGTATAAAACAATTCAAAAATACCCGCCGTGAAAATGACTTTTCACGCATTTTCACGGTCCAGAAATAATGTTCATCTGATCGAAATTTGAGGTATATAAGCACCTTTAGGTTCTAAAATTTCATTTAAGGGTATGTGGGCAAAGGACGTTTTTTTGTGGTTTGAAACTTATTCTGAAATAAAAAATGATGTTGGGTTAAAATTTTGGAGAAATGATTTTGTTTGGTACAAGGAATCTCGCTGTTCTACTCATTTACCATAACTTAACGCAAAAATATAATAAAAATAAAGCAATAAATAGTAAAATAATGTATTATATCATAGTTCATTCAGCGGCCACTCGCTCGAATTGGCGCTGTTTACTGGAGCACTGAAGGTACGGTCACACGACTTTTGGAAAAACCATTCATGTCTTTCTCTCTCCTAAGACAGAGGCATAAGATTGTCTCACTCTGCATTTTCTTACATTTCCCAAAGACGGAAAATGCAGAGTGAGACAATCTTATGCGTCTGTAATAGGAGAGAGAAAGACAAGAATGGTTTTTCCAAAAGTCGTGTGACCGTACCCTGACACTCTCATGGAGCGGTCACACCTCGCCTGCAGGAGCAGTTGCCAATGGCAACCACGTTAGAGTAAGAGAAATGGAAAATCTTCTATCTCTCTTACTCTTACACGGTTGCCATGGGCAACTGCTCCTGCAGCCGAGATGTAACCGCTCCATCAAGCAACGTTTGTGTATGCGCTGCCATCTTTGTTTTCATTTTCGTTTAAAAATGCCACTTTTTAAACATCATTTGTGACCTGGACAGTTAAAAGGGACCTTTTGTCCGAAAAAATCGATTTTTTATTGATTGGTGATTCTGATAGAGAAAACTTTTTTCTATCAGAATCACCAATCAATAAAAAATTAATTTTTTCGGACAAAAGGTCCCTTTTAACTGTCCAGGTCACATTTTTTAATAATTTTACTCAAAATTATGTATTTTTCGGAGAACAGCGAGATTCTTTGTACCCTAATCTATCATCCCTCAAAATTTTAGACAAAAATCTTTTCTCATTTTAGACTGAAACGTATACTACCAAAACACATTTTCCCATACTAGGTCACGTGGGAGGTTCCCACATAACCTTAAGCGAGATATTAAAAAAATTCGACTTTATCCTGTACACATTTCTAATGTTTGTTTGTGCACCACTTAATCGCCATTTTGGATTCCCCCCCCCCACCCAACTTGAACTACCTAATTATGTAATTTACCAGATGTAATTAGGATTGCATACGTAACATATGTGGTTTATCTGTATTTTGTTAATTCACAGTAAAGTACGTAACAAACCTTCTGAACCCTGACAGTTCTTTAAATCTTAAGTGACGTTCACATTGATACAATCCTGTTCTTGGCCCCCCGAACAAGTCTATACATTCCTTATTCAGGAAATGAATTTTATTGACTCGTATAATTATAAAGGTGAACTGTCAGTTTGACAGATTAATAATGAGACATTTTGTCGTTCTAGGAAAATTGTTTTAGAAAAATTATTCTTTCTATTTAGAGAGATTTTTTAAAACTACAATTTATATTAAATGATAATTGATTAGTTTAAGTTAAATTTTAGTGAAAATTCTTTTTTGCAAAAGGTAAGTAACAATGCATATTGTCAACAATTGTATTACATTTTTTTTTTTTTGTCAACACAGCACATTGACATGAAAATTGTTTTCTTTTTAAAATTAACATTTCGTGTCGGCATTTTAAATCATCAATTTTGTTCAACATTTTTTTTTAATATTATAGAAACTGTTAATTATTGTTGATTATATTCTTATGTAGGTTTAGTCATTGTACATATGTTCAATTATTTACCATATACCTGATAAATAGTTAATTTATTTCCTTTTGCTTTTGTAAATTTTCAGTCATTTTATTAAATTTCTCTCTTGCTCTAATAATATAATTGTTTGAAAATTATAACAATTCTTTAACTTAATTTAGGAAAGTTCTTGAACTACTTTTCAATATAAGAATATATATATATATACATATATATGGGTTTAAAATATATACTATATATATTTTAATTTTTAACATTTAACTGTTGGATTGGAAAAAAATTTTTTGTTTAAAATATTTTATGTTATTTAAATATATTTTGTTATTGAAATATTATTAATAATTTTTTAAATTATATTTTTAATTTTTCCTGAACAGTTGAACTCATTATAAATTATATGCCAGACTAGACTAAAATTAGGACTACTTGAAAAGTACTTAAGACAGTTTATGTTCCTTGGGCTTTTATTTTTAAATTTAAAAGCACACTCCAGGAATACTGTTCAACTCGAACTTTATTTCATAGGCTGAGAAGGGTAGTGCTAAACAAAAATTGTTTATTTTACCGTATTTCTGTAATTTTTATATTTCAAAGTATTTATCTGATAAATAAAAATTTGCACTTTTTTTTTATTTTAATTACAAAAAAAAAATATTTTCTTTTAATATTGAAATTTAATGAATTATAATTGTTTAAAGTTATAAACCTATTTAATTTTGGTTTAATTTGTTTAAATAATTCCATATTATTTAATTTCAGCTTTTTATTACACGACTGGGATGCACAGGAATAAGTAAATTAATTTATAGCAAAAAATAAAAAAAAGTTTAATTAACTCGGATGAAGAATAGGTTATGATTTATTTTGACTTTGCAATAAAACAGGCATTTTATTGCAATTTACCTTCAGTATTCATATATTCGACAAAAGCAAATAATCTACTTTTAGAATTTTTTATATTTCTTGTAACCATAGCTACTAACGAGCTGGCTCTATTAGCGAAGCTGGAAGAGGCCAATAGGTGAGTAAAATTGTTTTCTTTTTTTTTTTTTTTTAAATAAATATAATTAAAAATACACAAGTTTTCTTTAAATTATTAATGAAATTTTATCTACATTATTATTATTATTTTTTTTTAATTTGAATTAAAATCTTTATTATCATTTTCTGTATGGAAAAATGAATTAAATAATTTATTGGAATTTTAGGCTGATTGAATCAGATGCCAAATCGCTGAATTCATTGCAAAGTAATCATAGTAGAAAAGGTTCTGATACATCACAAACATCTCTAACGACAGGATGTAGCGAGGGTGGAACACAAAGTCGTTGTCCTGGCGATGGAGATGAAAATATTTGGAATCTTTGGGGCAATATAGCGGCCGATTGGGATAATCAATGGAAAAAAAGAAAAGATTTTATTAAAGATTTAGTGAGGCAGGGTGTGCCACATCATTTTAGGTAATATGCTTTTTGTTAATCGTAAATCTAAATTAATTAAATTTAGATCATATTCAAGCGAATATTTAAATACCACGATCATTTCATTATAGTTCACCTAAAATCTTTGCTGTCTATTTTTAGAAAAATTTTATAATTCATAATAATAATAATAATAATAATAATGATGATTTTTGATATCAGTACAACTTAATTTTGACAATTATTCAATAAATTTGTATATATTTAACTTGGAATTTGAATTTTAAAGTCTGAGTTACGCGGAAAAAAAGTTAAAAGCAAATTGAAAATTTTTTTTTATGCTTGTTAAAAATCAAAATGTCCAACGATCCTTAAAAACATTGAATTCTTCTTGAATATTTTTTTTTACCTTGAAAATATTTAAATCACTTTGAATTTTAAAACAAAATCTTGAATTATTCAAAATAAAATAATATTTATAGTTTAAAATACATACTATACAAATCTCAAATTAAGATAAACGGTTCAAATTCAAAATTAAGGGGAAACATTCAAATTCAAAAAAATAAAAAAAAAAGGAAAGTTCGGTACTAAATTTTTGATTTCCAACAACAAATCTACATATTTTTTTTACAATTATTTGTACACAAATACGGTCAAAATTTTTGAAAATTTATCAAAATAATTGGATTTTTGAAAATTAACGGTTTTTTTTTAAGAACTCATTGAATTTCAAGCGATTTTAAATTGAGATTTTCTGTAAATTCAAATTCCTGTATTTTTTTTATACAAATTTCAGACTTTGAATTTTTTGTTAATAATAAAATTTCAATAGATTTTCAATTTTAGAAAATTTTTTAAAATAATTAAATATTTAAAAAACTATTCAAATTATTAGAAAATTATTGATTTGGCGAAGAATTTTAAACAAAAATTTATAAATATTTAAATTTTTGAATAGTTACTATTAACATTTTTATAATTTATTGAATTTCAGAACATTTGAAATTGGAATCTTTTGTAAATTTGAATTGAAGATTTTTTTAAATAAATTTTTAACAATAATTAAAGACAGAGAATTTTTAATAAAAAAAATTTTGCAAATAATTGGAATTTCGGAGAATTTTTGTTAAATTTTTTAAAGCTAAAAGTTAAATTTTTTTTAATGATTAAATTTTAAAAGAATTTCAATTGAAAATATGGAAATTATTTAAAAGTATGAAAAACTTTATAGATACAAATTTATGATAAAAATTTAATTTCGATATTTGGAAATAATTAATATCTCGAAGAGCTGCAATCAAAGTTTTTAATAATATAATGAAATTTTTGAAAAATTAATAATATAACTATTTTTTACAAATAAATTAATTTTGTGGAATTTAAAATTAATTTTTGTTAAAAGCAATAATTTTTAATTGATAATTACTTAAATAATTACGGTATAGAAAAAATTTATTGAATTTTTTGAAAATGATAAAATTTGCAGAGTTTTAATTAACTTTTTTGAAAAATAATATAATTATACGGATTTAATAAAAATAAATCAATATTGAAAGAGTTGCAATTAAAAGTTTTTACTTTTTCTATTTTTTAAATATTTTAAATTAAATTTTTTTAAAAAAATTTAATTATCGAAGAATTTATTCAAAGTTATGAAAGTTTTTTAAAAATAATATTTAAATTGTATTTTTAAAAACAATTGTCTTTTTTAAATATAACGAATTAAAAGCATTATAAATAATTGAAATTTCGTAAAATTTTATTAAAAACTTTGAAAATAATTGAATTTTTAAAAAGAATTTCGTTATACTTTTGTAAGTATGTAATTGAATTTTTTTTTAAGAATTTGAATTGTTCTTTATACAATGTTTGTTAAACATCATTTTTATTTGATCGAATTTTCATTTCTCACAATATTGTCTGAAAGTCAGGGAAATGTCAGGGAAAATTATAATGAAAATTTTTGTGGCAACCCTGTATATAACTTTTGAATTTGAATTTTAAAAATGAGTTATGCGGGAAAAAAGATTAAAATATTTCAAATTTTTTTTTGGCTTGTAATTTTCTTTTGGAAATTCCAGCAAGGTTTTGGGGATTTTGGAGGTTGGTTTTGCAAATATTTTTTTACTAATCTAATTTATCTGTTATTAAAATTTATTTAAAATTTTGTTAGAATTGTTATTTTTTGAAAAAAATAAATTTTTTTCAAACTCCAAGGATTCAGAATGATGAAAAAAAGTGTTTTAAAAAAATTGTAAATGAAAAATATTAAAAATTGTGGATTGATATATAAAATTTTATTAAATAATTGTCAAAAAATAAATTGTACGGATATAAAAAATAATTATTTTTTTTTTTTTCAAAAATAAGCAGCAACAATTTTAAGCGAAATTATAATGAAATGACCGACTAAATTAAATGCAATCAATTTAATAATAATTTTCTTATGTATTTTGATGTACAGAGGAATTGTTTGGCAATTATTGTGCGGAGCACATGATTCTCCTGTTAAAAAACAATTTGCCGAGTACATAAAATGTACATCGGCATGCGAGAGAATTATACGAAGAGATATTGCAAGAACATATCCGGAACATGATTTTTTTAAAGAAAAAGATGGGTTAGGCCAGGAGAGTTTATTTAATGTCATGAAGGCATACAGCCTTCATGATCGTGAAGTAGGATATTGTCAAGGCTCAGGTTTTATTGTAGGATTACTTTTGATGCAGGTTTGTTATATTTATATTTTTATATTATTAAATAAAAAAAGAAATAAATTTGTTTTTATTTTGTTTTTCTCTTTTTTTTTTAGCAAATGCCTGAAGAAGAAGCATTTGCAGTGCTTGTTGCTCTTATGCAAGAATATCGTCTTCGTGATATGTTTAAGCCAAGTATGGCTGAATTGGGTGTTTGTATGTATCAATTGGAACATTTGGTTGCCGATACACACACTGAATTGCATGCTCATTTTACTGCGCAAGGTTTTCACACCTCAATGTATGCGTCTTCGTGGTTTTTAACACTTTTTACAACAACATTAAGTCTTCCTCTTGCTTGTCGTATTTTTGATGTTTTTCTATCGGAAGGAATGGAGATAATATTTAAAGTTGCACTTGCCATGTTACATTTGGGCAAAGAAGATTTATTGAGTCTCGATATGGAGGGCATGTTAAAGGTAAAAATTTCATTAAAATATTCTTTTCTTTCTAATTCAATAATTCAATATTCATCTCAAAGTTAATTTAATAAATTTGAAACGACAACCTTTTATTGGAAATAATGTAAAAAAAAAAATTTTAATTTATTTAAAAAATAATATTAAATTTTATATAGATAACAAATTTTAATTGTCAACCTGAAAATTATTTAATTTTTTTTTAATTGTTACTATTTAACATATTTTTTCCACATATTAAAATAATTGATTTAAAATTGTTAACTTTGCATTTTATACGGAATATTCTAGAAATTTCTTAAACAATTTTACTCTCTTTTATTTTTTTTGTTCTCGCATTCTTTATTTGTGTTTGTGCAATAATTTAAATGAAATATGCAGCAATTAATTATTGATTTATCTGCAAAAAATTGAGAATGTTAAAGATTTAAATTTTTTCAGTGACATTCTGTTGATTTTCATTGAAAGTTTGTTTAAATATTGTGTACAAAAAATAATTTTTGAATTGTGAATTTTTCGACTTTTTTTTATAAAATTTTTAAACAAAATGCGTCTTTTTTTAGTATACAATGCAGATCTTTTTCAAATCTTCTTTATTTCAGTTATTTAAGAAATTTTTAACTAAAATTCTTTTCTAAATTAATTGTATTTTCAAAAATTTTAATGAAATTCTTCACAAATTCAATTATTTTGAACTATTTTTCAATTAAAAGTTTTATAAAATTCAATAATTGTTTAAAAATTAAAAAAAAAAATTAGCAAATAAAGTTACCTAAAATTTCAATTCAAAATCATTCAAAATTCAATTATTTTCAAAAATTTGGATTTAAACCTTCTAATATTGAATTATTTCTAAAATTTTCTATCTAAAACTTTCTGAATTGTAATAATTGCAACTATAACTCTTCCAAAATTCAATTATTTTTTAATGATTTTTAGAATATTCTTCGAAAATTTAATTATCTGAAAACATTTTTCAATTACATAAAAACTTTTAAATTTCAATTTTTGTCCGTAAATTCTAATAACTTCTTCAACAACAGAAATCACTGAAAATTTCAATCAAAAATCACTTGACGTTCAAATTATTTTCAAAAATTTGAATTGCAAATCTTTGAAAATTCAATTATGTTTAAAAAAAAGTTTATCTAAAATTATTTGATGAATTATTTTCAATTCTGTAAAATTTAATTATTATCTGAAATTTAACAAAATCTTTTGAAATTCAATTATTTCTTAAAATTTTAACTGCAACTCTTCCAAAATTCAAATATTTTTAATAATTTTCTGTAAAAATGCAATTATTTAAAAAAGTTTTAAAAAAACTCTAAAATTAAATTGTTTTCAGAAATTTAAAAAAAAAACTTCTGCAGTTTAAATTTGCAGAAAATTTATTTGTATTTTAAAATTTTTTGCAATTCAATTATTTAAAAAAAAAAAAAATTTAATTTAAAAATCTGTACAACTTAATTATTGCCAAAAAAATTTTTTTTACCATTAAAATTGAAAAAATTATTCAAAAATTTTAAATTCAAATAAATTACTTGAGGTATTTCTAAAAAATTTTTTTATTTACCTTCATTTTTATGTAATCAAATTCTTTTTCATGTCACTATTACACAAATTTTTAAAAGTGATGCAATTTTTATTTACGATGCCTTATTTTCTACATAAATAAATTATCTACAACTTCATCGAAAAAAATTTTGAAAAAAATGCACCATTTCGAAAATATAATTATTTGTTTTTAAAAGAATGCATTTTATTCAAAGAAAATTGCACTTTTTATTATACAAATAATAATATTTAAAAAACAGTGATTTTTTTTCATTGAAGTTGTAGATTATCTATTTTTGTAAAAAATAAGCTTTGTATTTTACTAAAAAAAAAATTCTCTACAAAAATGATCATCTTTCTAAATCTGACATTCACTAATTTAAAAAAATTAATTTTGTTAGTCTGTAAATAAATAATTGTTTTCTTTTAAATTTCAGTTTTTCCAAAAAGATTTACCTGGTCGTGCTGAAGCCGATCCAAATGGTTTAATGAATCTTGCATATGAAATGAAAATAAATCCAAAGCGAATGAAAAAATTAGAGAAGGATTATACAATATTAAAAATGAAGGAACAAGAAGAAATGGTTGAATTACGTCGATTGAGAGCTGAAAATCGTTTATTGCGTCAAAGAACAGAATTATTGGAAGCTGAATCAACTGAGCTTGCCGATCGTTTAGTTAGAGGACAAGTTTCACGTGCCGAAGAAGAAGAAACTGCATTTGTTGTACAACGTGAATTGGCAGCACTTCGTCATACACATCTTGAGACTAGTCATCAATTGGAGCAAGCACATGAGGAATTACGTTCATTGTCAATGATATTGGAGGAAAATCTCACATCAAAACAATCGTCACTTGATGAAATTCACAATAAACAAGAGGCTTTATGTCAAAAAGAAGAAATGGTACAATGCCTGCAAGAGGAATTGGTGAGAGTAAGATTACATGAGGCTGAGAACGATGCAATAATACGTGATTTACGTGCAAGAATACAAGAATTGGAACAAGATAAAAAAACATTACGCGAAACAACACCTGATAATTCTGTTGCACATTTACAGGAGGAACTTATTGCAGTGAAACTTCGAGAGGCAGAGGCTAATTTATCATTGAAGGTATTGAATATTTAATCAAAATTTTAATTTATCAAACTAATTTTATTTTTATAATATTAATATTTTAGAATTTCTTTTTTTTTATTAAATCGAAATGGATTTGCTTTTTGATTAATTTTCCATTTAACCGAATATGTATTAATTTTTGACATTTATTTATTTTCTTTTTTTATTTTCAAGGATCTTCGACTGAGAGTTACTGAATTGAGTGCAGCGTGGCAAAAGCATTTACAGGAACATCGTTCATCACATACGGCACAAGCTGCTGATTCAACACCGAAAAAATTACTTTTTTGGGAAAATCGTGGACATGAAATTCAAAAACTCGAGGAAGATTTAATGACAACGCGAATACGTGAAATGGAGGCATTGACTGAAGTTAAGGAACTTCGTTTAAAAGTAATGGAACTTGAGACACAAGTTCAAGTTGCGACGAATCAACTTCGACGACAAGATGAAGGTAGTAAAGTACTTAAAGATGATTTGGAAGCGTTGACAGCAAAGGAACGTGATTTAATTGCAAAATTACGTGAACAACAGCACAAATACACTGATTTAGAATCAAAAATGAAAGACGAGACATTGATGTCGAAAATTCGTGACGCCGAACATGCACAACAAGTAGCTGAATTAAATCAGAAAATATCAATTTTGGAATTAAAGGTTACTTTTACTTTTTTTTTACAACAAAATTTCAATTTAATATTAAAATTTCTATTATCTATAATTTTAATTTTATAGAAATTTATTTTATATTTTAATTTATAATTCTGAAAAATGTTTCCTTTATTATTTTTTTTTTTTTTTAATAGAAAATAAGTAATTTTATATCTATTGAATTTTTTTTAACAATTTTATTTTAATTAATGAATTTTTGTATTTTTTATAATAATTATTATTTAATACTTTTATGTTTTGTTCACAGAATGAGGAAATGTATACAGAGGGTGAATTGAGAAGTAGTTTGGAGGATTGTGAGCGGGTACGTGAATTACAAGACAAAATTGCGGATCTTAAAGCTGAGGTAGGAATTTATTAACGAAATCTAAAAAAAAAATCATCTTTTCATATATTTGTGTATTGGCCCTGATTAATTGTTATTCCAATTATTTTCAGTTAGCCTTTGACACGTTTACGTTTTTTTACTCCCACGAAACTGACCCTCAAACACTCTGAAAGTGATAGAATAATATTGAATTTGAAATTCTAAAATCTCAATTACAAAAACAATTTCTATTTACAAATTTAAAAAAAAAAAATTAATCATGGTTGCCACATGTCAGGGAAGTCAGGGACTTTAAAAAAAATACTGGAAAAATGTTTTTTTACAAATCAAAGTGTCCCGCGACCCTTAAAAACATTGAATTCTCCTTGAATTTATTTTCTTTACCTTGAAAATATTTAAATCACTTTGAATTTTAAAACGAAATCTTGAATTATTCAAATTTTATATAAAGTAATATTTTTAGTTTAAAATACTATAAAAATTTCAGATCATTGTCAAAATATAAATTTTGTTACTAAATTTCTGATTTCCAACAAAAAACGATACATTTTTTTACAATTATTAAACACAACAAATAATTATACAAAATTTTTTAAAATATATATTAAAATAATTGAATTTTTCAAGTTTAGCAGGTTATATTTTTTTAATTATGTAATTGTAATTTAGGTGATTTTAAATTGAAATTTTTTGTAAATTCATGCTCCTAAATATTTTTTTAGGCAAATTCCAGACAATAATTAAATTTTAGAAAATTTGTAATTAAATTTTTTTTATATATTATTATATACATTTTTGAATAACTATTAAAATTATTAAAAATTATTGATTTGACGAAGAATTTTAGATAAAAATTTATAAACTACTTAAATTTCCAAATAGTTCTTAGTAATATTTTTAGAATTAATTGAATTTCAAAAGATTTCAAATTAGAATCTTTTGTAAATTTGAATTGGTAAATATTTTTTTTTTTTTTTTTTTACAAATTTTTAACAATAATTGAATTTTAGAGAATTTTTAATTAAAATTTCGAAGAATTTTTGTTAAATTTTTTTTAATTTATTAACTTTTAAAAGATTTTTCATTGAAATTTTGAAAAATATTGAAAAGTATGAAAAAATTTAAAGGTACAAATTTGTAAAAATTTAATTTCAATATTTGGAAATAATTGATATCTCGAAGAGCCGAAAACAAAGTTTTTAATAATTGAAATTTTGAAAAAATTGATAATTTCACTTTTTTACAAATAAATAAATTTTAAAAGCAAATTTTTAAAAGCAATGATTTTAATTTGGTAATTCTATAAATAATTAAGTTATTGAAGAATTTTATTGGATTTTTTTTTTTTTAAATAACAAAATTTGCAAAGATAATTAATTAATTATTAATTAAATTAATTTTAAATTAATTTTTGTTATTATTATTTTTTGACTTTTTCTATTTTGAAAAAAATTTTAAACTAAAAATTTAAATCAATATTTTTGAAAATAATTGGATTTTCGAATATATATTGAATTTGTAGGATTGTTATTGTTAGTAATGGAAATTTTGTAAAATTTGATTGAATGCTTTGAAAATAATTGATTTTTTAAAAAGAATTTAATTAAAACTTTTAAAAATATGTAATCGACTTTTTTTTAAAGAATTTAAATTGTTTTTTTTATACAAGATTTGAAAATGTTAGGGAAAAAACACAAAATATTGTCTGGAAATCAAGGAAATGTCAGAGAAAATTATATTGAAAATTTTGTGGCAATCCTGATTAAATTTATATATATATAGTTAAAACGAAGTTGCAATTTTTTTAAAGTAAAATTACAATTATAAATTAAATTTAGAAATTATAAAGTAAATTTAGTCATTATTAAATTATAAATTAATTTATAATAATTAAATTTATTATCTATAAAGTAAAATAATTTAAGTAACAATTTTAAAGTTTGAAAAGTAAATTAACGTGTATAATTTACTTACACACATAATTAAAAAAAAAAAGTTATGAATTATTCTTCTAAAGAAAAAAAAAAACTAACACACGACTATTGTAATATTTATGACTTTAGTTTCCTACACCCATCACGAGTCCGGAGACTGAGCCGTGGCGCTGGCTCGAGTAAGTTTCAATCTAAATGTTTAGCATTTCTTATAGGCATGTGTAAAACTTGAACTCGATTCTTCAATTTTTTTTTTGTTTTTTTTTTTTTTTAATTTTTTTTGGTAACTTCTCATCAAAGATGAGGTACATATTATTTTTATTTATTTTTATGCTCAGTAGTTTATTTTGTGAATTGTGATTAAAGTTACAAGAGTTAAGTTATGCCTGAATTGCAACAAAAATTATTTGGAGTGATTTGAACCCCCCCTTGTTATTTTTAGTTAAAGTTAAAAACAATTTTTTTCTTATTGGTAGTCTAGCTGAAATTCCAATATTATAAATTTTTTATACAGTTTAGCTTTAATTTTTGAAAACTGTTTTTCTGCTTTCGTATTTTTAACATTTTCTTTTATTTCAGAAATTTTTTTTATTTTATTATTTTAGTTAATTAAATTATTAATTTTTTTTAAAAATAGGTCGCAATGACTTTTGGTCGAAATATAAATAGAATATATATATATATATAACCCTTAATTTTTTGTTTAATTATTTTATTTAAAAATTGTTTTTCTTTGTTTGTTTTTTTTTGTACATAAATGTTTGAACTTTGTACATTTAATAAGTAGAAGTAGATATTGCATCATGTAGTTTTGTATAAAGCTTCGATGTTGTATTCGAGTTAGGCAAAAATTGTTGCATGATATCTTTAATGAGTCAATTTTTGCTTTTTCTTTTATTAACGAATTTATAACTTTAAATTGTTAATAAATTTTTGTGAAGAATATTAATCACTTACGTGTCAAAGGCAAAAGAACATCAGAATAGATAGAAAAAAAAATTTATTTAATTTACTTATTTAAATATTTTAATTGATTTATTGAAAAAAAATTTTTCAGGTACTTTAAATGTCTTTATATAACTTTAAAAATAGATATTTTTTTCAATATTTAATTTAATTTTAATTTTTACATTGTATTCTAATATTTATTATTAAATTCTTAGTTCTTAATTAATTAAATATTAATTTGATTTTATATTTTCATTGCATTTATTTTTTTTTGGTTTATTTTTGAATAAAAAAATAATTTTTAATTTACTAAAATTTTTCAGTTAAAGTGTAAAGCAATTTTATTTTTAATATACTTTTAATAATTAAAAATGGATAATAATTGAAAATTTCTTTTTATGAGAAACGATTGTTATAAATTTTAAGTTGTATAATATCTATTGTATAATTTTTACTAAAATGCAACTTTTGGTAGATAAAAATGTTAAAAATAAAATTATTTACACTTAAATTGAAACAGTTATAAATTGTAAATTATTTTTTTCTTTTAAAAAATTCGAAAACAATTGGAGTAGGATTAATTTTGTTCAGATTGTTTGTCGAATTTTTTTTAATTTGTTATTTATTTGTTTGTTTGTTTTTTCTTTGTTCTAATTTGATATGTATAATAATCAAATTTTTATTCATTTTTTTTATTTATTTAATAAGTTATTATCAATATTAATATTTAATATTTATCATAAAAAAAAAAAAAAAATCTAAATAATGAAAAATTTTCACAAAAGAGGAGTAATTTAATAAAAATTTTAATTAAATCATTAGAGAAATAATTTTTATTTTCTTTAAAATAATGACAATTAAATAAATAAATAAAATAATTTAAAATTTTTTAATTAAATAATTTTAATATATATAAATCAATAAAAATTGATTAAGATAATTTAAATTTATTGGAAATTTTATTTTTTCAAAAAGTAAGTATTTTTTACGTGTGGTAAAAAAAAAAAAAAATTTCCGCTGACAATTGATTTCTATTTTCGAAATGTTCATTGAAATTTGCTAATATTATTATAAATTTAAGTATTCAATTTAGAATCACGTCTTGGACTTTGAACGAATTGAAAAGATAATAATCATCAATGAAGATATGAGAAGCAACTATCAAAAAAATTTGATTCTTCGTATTAATTTCACAGTACTATTAATAATATTATAATAAAAAAAAAAAAATTTTTTTTTTTTTTAGGTCGTGAGACTTGAAACTTGGAAACAGCGATGGACAGGAAAAAATGTAGAATCAACACGAAATTACAATATTGAGAAGGAAAGTGAATTATTAGATGAACGAGATCTCAGAATCTGCCTTCAGGACCACGTCAATATTGTATCAAGAAGTCCTCCCGAGGTCTAGGATTTGTACATCTTTTTTTACTGCCTTGAATTGGATAACTATTAATAATATAAGTATATATAATGTTTAATTATATATCTAATAACATTTTTAGTAGTGTTATCTATCAGCATTACTTGTCGGAACTTTTTATCAGTTGAAAAAGGAAAAAAAAATTGGTATCAGTGTTTTCTATGTAGTACATGAACACTGTAGAGTTAAATACTTTTACACAGAAAACGATAAAATTATGATGCTTCAAAGTAAAATGCATAAATAGAAGAAAGGAATTTCCCAGTGTTGGATAGTATTTTTACAAAGAAAAAAAAAATTACTTTAACTTTTTTTTACATTTAATTAATTAATAAATAACTTAAACCATAATTTAGCAATAAGTAACTGAAAAAATAATTTTAAAAATTAACTTTAATTAAGGGAAAAAATTGATTTTTTACTAAAATCATATTTTTTTTACAAATATTTTTAATTCTGAATTTTTGATAAAATTTGTTACTAATTTTTAATTATTTCTATTATACGATTTATCATATTTTTTTCCCTTAATAATAAAATATTTAAATAAAAAAAATAATAAATTAGAATAATTTTTCTAGTTACACAACGAGTTAGTAATTAAAAAAATAAAGTTACTTAAAAACAACATTTCCAACACGGGAAATTTCGTTTCAATTGATATGTTAGAGAGTAGTACAGTTGTAATCGATTTTTATTAGACGTGAAAGAAAAAAAAAAAAAAAAAAAATATTTAGATCATGTGGAATTTGATATGTTTTCTGATAAAATCTCAACTTTTTGGTATTTACTAATTTACGAAATTTCTTTTTCCTCGTTGATGAATTTTAATCGGTATTAATAATGTACTTACAAATGGCAGAAAATTACTAATAAAGTTGAGATTTTATCTAAACAAACAAAAAAAAAAATATCAAATTTAAAAAAAATTTTAATATCACTAAATTAATTGATTTTTAAAAGAAAATTTTTTTTTTATATAATTTTTATAATTTTAAAGAGAGTATTCAATTATTATTATTATTTTAATAGTTTAGAAAAAAAATGACTATTTTTTAAATAGTTAAAAATAACTATTAATTTAATAGTTTTTAAAAGAGCATTTTTTAACTATATTGTTTTAAACAAATAGAAAAGATGCTCTTAAAATTATTCTTTATGTTTTTAAAGTTTTAATATATATTATAATTTTTATTATTTAAAAGTGTAACTTTTTTTTTATAATTTTATATTTTTAATAATTTTGTTTTTTTTGTATTTTGTTCAAAAAACTTTGTCGTTTCTTCAATGTTATTTGTTTTCGGATTTTTATTTTAATTTTAATAAATCTATGTTTAAATATTGACAAACAAAATTTAAAACCCTTGGATTTTATACATTTAGAACAGAAATTTATCTACTTAAAAGAAAAAAAAAATTCTTTTTATTATTTAATTTTATTTAGTTTATTTACTTTATATTTATTGGCTTGTTAGAATTTATTATTTTGCCGGAAAGTATTGAACTTTTTATCTTTTTAACTACTCTATTAGAACTTTAATTCTATAATTATTTTTCTTTTAAATAATTAATTACTCTTTAAAATTAATTATTTTATCTATAATATTTTAAAAATCTAATGGTGTTTTATCCAGTCAATATTTTCTGCAAATTATTTATTTATCAATGATTTGATAATCATATGTATGAAGAAAAAAAAATTACATTTCTTTGCAGTCTGATTATGTATTTAAAAATTGAATTTTCATCATTAATACGAACAATGTTTTCTCTTTATAATCAAATCGAGAATATATCATCAAGAATGCGTACAATGTGTTTATTTCTCATTTTTTACTTATTCTTGTTTGATAAAACTCGGTAAAAAATTAAAAACCTAAGCATTGTTGGTATTATTGATGATAATAACCATGTCTACAATGTTAAAAAGGTTTTAAAAGCATTTTCATAATTTTTAATATAATATATGACATATTTCCGTCCTGATTTGATTAATTATACATAATATGTTAATTTCAAGTCAAAAATAAATTGTATTAAAAGAAATTTAAATATTCATTTTACTTGTTAATTTTATATTATTCATTCTAATGTGAGTTTCTTTTGTCTTTAATTGCGTTTTTTCAGATTATATTAAGGTTGATTACATGTGACAGTCAATGTCAAAAGTTATTGCAGTTCAAAGAGAAAAGTGTTGAAAAAACCTAATAAAAGCCAGGATTTTTGGGGGTAATTATAACCATTTTTTTTTTGTTAAATTAATTATTTTTCGCAGTGTATAGTGCATATTATTATTTTCTATACATTTTTGATATTCAAAAAAAAGTCGAAAAAGTCGATTTTTTTATTTTAACAAAATTTAATTGGTTAATGAATATTTCACTTTAAATAACTAATGTTATTAGATATTTAATTTTCATTTTATTAATTCTGTAATGAGAATATAATTCTATAAAAATATTTTCATGAAAATTTATTTCGTATATTTTAGAATCGAACTAATTGTAAGACAAATTTTCAAAATTTTATTTAAGTATAGGACAAACTTTTTTTGAAGTCTTATTTAAGCAATTTATTTGAATTAAAAATTTTGTCATAATTTTTAGATTTGATGGTCAAAAAAATTTTAGGCAATACTTAATCAAGTTTTACATACTTTCAAATAAAATTTTTTTTTAATAATAATTTTAAAAGAGTTAAAGTTTATAGTTTTTAAAAATAATTGAATTTCAAAAAATTTTGTTAATTTTCAGATAATAATAAAATTTTACAGAACTAAAGATAATTTATTAAATAATTTTAGATAACAATTTTTTCAAAGATTTACAATTTAGATTTTTGAAATTAATTGAACTTCAAGTGATTTTTAATTAAAATTTTTGATGATTTCTGTTAAAATAAAAAATTTATTAGAAATTACAGACAAAAATACAATATAATTTGAAAACTTTTTCAGTGAAAAATGGTTTCAGATACGTAGTTAAATTTTCGAAGAATATTATAAAAACCATTAAAAATTATTGAATTTCAGGAGATTTATAATTGAAATTATAAAATTTCAAAAAATTTTAGACATAATTAAATTTTAGAAGCTTTTAAATTGAAATTTCTGAAAATAATTGAATTTCAAAAGATTATGTTAAATTTCAGACAATAATAATTATAATAAGATAAATTTTTAATGATTTCTGTTGATGAAGAATTTATTAGAAATCACATCCAAAAATACTATAAAAATTATTAAAAATACATAATTGAAATTTTTGCAAATAATTAAATTTCAAGTGATTTTAAATTAAAAATTTTTGGTAGTTTTATTTGCTAATTTTTTTTTAAATTATAAACAATTATTAAATTTTATAAAAATTTGAATTGAAAAATAGTTTAAGATAATTAAATTTGTGAAGAATTTCATTAAAATGATTAAAAACAATTAATTAGGTGAAGAATTTTAGTTAAAAATTTGTTAAATAATTGAAATAAAGAAGATGTGAAGAAGATCTACATTATATACTAAAAAAAAACGTATTTTGTTTAAAACTTTTTTAAAAAAATGTAAAAAAAAAGTCGAAAAAGTCGTATGTAATCCAAGGCCTGTCTATACGTGATACGCAAATTTTTTATTGGATTTTTTTTTAGAGAAAAGAGTGAAAAAACTGAAAAATTAGGATTTTTTGGTTAATTATAGCCATTATTTAAAATCAATTATTTTTTATAAATTAAAAAACTTTCATGGATACAACAGCCTCAATCATCGAGATAATATGCCCACAATTTTCAAAAGAACGTCCACGTCATAATTTATTTATTTTATAATTTACATTAAGTAAAAAAAATAAAAAAAAAAAAGAAATGTAATTTTCCTTATTTAAATTTTTTAAAAAGGAAAAAATAGATAAATATAAATCTTTAAAAATTGTTTCAAAATTTTTATTGATCAAAAGTAAACAATAATATTGAAATTGAATATAATAATAATAATCTCTATAATTACTTGTATTAACATGCATATCTTTACTCTAAAAAAAAATTTTGATATTATCATAACACTTCTTTAGATTGCAAAAGTTCAAAAAAAACAGAAAACATAGAATTTATAAATATAATGAAATATTTCACTGGAATTATATATTTTTTTTTTATAAAGTCTTCTCTTTTTTTTCTTTTTATTTTCATTTAATCAATTTAGAATAAAAACATGCAGATTTTCAATAAAAAAATACTAATATTTAAAAAAAAAAATAGAAAAAAGTTTAATACCCAAAATATATGTAAATAATTAAATAACATTTTGGAAAAATTTTCAAAAACTAGAATCAAAATTGTAAATATTTGATTTAATATGCAAAAAAAAAATTTACTCACAAATTTTAACACGCGACTAAATATATTGTATTTCTAAATATTCGAAAAAATTAAGAAATACAATGAACTGATAAAAAAAAAAGAATCTAATGTTTATGAAAATGATAACTAATGAGCAATTTATCCCATTAAAGTTATACAATGTTTATATATATATAATATATCTATTATTTAATAATTGAAAATCACCTTCTCACGCGTATGTATATATATGTAAATATTGACAAAAATTTACAATTCTTCATGAAGTTTTTTATCATACAAAAATTCACCGAGCGGTCCATGTGTTGACATCATTTTACCCAGAGTTGAAACTTTTCCTGCTAAATCACGTTTTCCTTTATATTGCTCGTCCAGGAAATCGCCAGTGAGATAATCGACCAACTATAATAATATTAATAATAATAAATGCATTATTATTTCGAATTAATTCACTTGGAAGCAAAAAATAATGGAAAATAAATAATTAAAATACCGCCGAGTGATAAATTCAAAATAATATTAAAAAATAAAAATAGGAAATTAAAATACCTAAACACATAAAATAGTAAATTTTATATATAAGACTAAAAAAATTCAGTTAAATTATAGAAAAAAAGAATTTTCAAAGTTAAAATTTAAAAAAAGTGTATCAAAATAATTTTTTATTTTTTTTTTGAGAGAGACACTTACGTGATAATCGTTGACGACATTGCCAAGATGAGTCTCTGAATGTTCGCATTCACGAATAACATTTATAATGCTCCTTGTTACATTTGCTTCCAAATAAAGAGCTTCGGTAAGTGCTTCAACGCCACTTGACCATTCCTCTCTAATAGTTCTCTATATAATAATAATAATAATAATAATTTAATTTATATTTAAATTATAGCCCGCACAATTAGTTTATAAAAAAAAATTCTTTTTCCATTGTTATACTAAATATAAAACTCATGAATATTTAAATTAATACATAATGAATACAACACTTACCAGTGGGAAATTTAAAAGTTTGCTCACATCATTTGTCAATTGACCGCGCATAAGTAAATATTCAATAACTTTTATTGCGTGTTCTCTTTCTTCGCTTGCTGCTTTAATAAAGAATTTACTAAATCCTGGTCGATTCACAGAATCACGGGCAAAATGAGCTCCCTAAATAAAAAAATTAATTAGTAAAATTATTTTTATTTAGAAAATAAATCAAATTTTTATTTTTTACTTTTTTTTTGGAATTTTCTTTTTTTTCTATTTTCTATATTTTAGAAGAAAAAAAAAATTAAAAAAGTGGAGAAAATATTTTTTTCAAATTACCATAGAGAGATAAGTCATGGCAGCATTAATTTCAATTTTAACTTGATTTTTCAAATGTTTTATACATGGATTTACCATATCGATCCATTTATTTGGATCGATATCAGCCGGCTTTAATGTACCTGAAATGAAAAATTTTAATTCTCATCAATATCATTAAAATGATTTATAATATTATTCTTATTGAAGATTTCATTATTTTATCTTTATATACGTGCAAGATCAATTTTTTACAATTTTCACGTATTTATTATCACTAATACCATCAATTATACTTTGCATTACGCTTCTGATAAAAAAAAAAAAAAAAAAAAAAAAGATGAGACAAGCCCAACAATATCTTATCCTATTTTAGTGAAAATCTATAGTATTTTTAATAAATTTTTATTTTTTATTTAAAATAATAATAAATTTTTTTAAATAAATTTAATATCATTTATAATAATAAATTCATTTAAATAAATTTAATATCATTTATAATAATAAATTTATTTAAATAAAAAAAACTATTTTACATATATATAATAATATTTTACATAACTTTGATATATTTTTAAATTTTTCAAATTTGAAAATTTAATTTAAAAAATTAATTTTTAAAAATATTTTAAAATACCTACACGAATAAAATAAAAATTAATTATTAATAAATTAAAAATAATTTTTTACCATTTTTTTAAAAATGGAATTTATTTAATTAAATTCTAATAAAATAAGAATTTTATTAATAATGAATTAATGTTTACTTTATGGAAGTAGAATAAAATATATTTATGACTCGTATATTAATCATTCTATGTGACTAATTCTCTTTTGTTATAAATGTTATCAACATGAATATTATAATTATTATACAACAAAAATCTATAATTTCACAAATTATTTTTCCATCTAAAATTCGTATCAAAATTAAAAATAATGAGAAAAACTGAATTAGTTATTATAAATAAATATCAAACTTAAATTTTTATTTTCTAACGATTTTTATATTTTTAATTCAATTTTTTAAATTAAGGGCATGTTATTCCTAATTACGTTATCGATACCATTGGCTTTATAGTAAAAATTACATAATGTATATTATTTATTTATTACACGAAATATATTCTATATTTATTTATTTTTTTTTTTATTATCAAAAGTCACATTTTTAATTTTAATCTTATTTATAATTATGTTCCAAACCGAAAAACATGATAGCAAAAAAATTAATACGAAATTACAAAATAAAATATAAAAAAAGTTTTCATTATAAAATATATCTAACTTTTGTTTAAAAAAAAAACAAAGACGTAGTTAGAGTTAAAAATAAATTAAATTGTTAATAACAAGTTTCTATTTAGAAAGATGTTTTATAACAAAATAGTTTCCAAAAAAGAACGCTAACTTCGAAAATGTCGAAAGGAATTTTAAGCTTTATACATATAACAAAATAAAACAAAAAATATTTTTTCACGATAAAAAATAAGTAATTTTGCTATATTTTGACTAATATTAGTAATTTACCGAATTAACAAAATTTGTAAAATAATGAAAATTTTGACGTTATTTTGTATAACAAAATATTTAATCAGTTTAATATTAAATACGCAAAATTGTTTGTGAAAATCAAATTCGCGATTAATTACGTTTTAGAAAAATTCTAATCGAATATACGTCGCACAATTATTTGATTGCACAAGGGGCGCAAATAAAAAAAAAAACTAGACACAAATATCTACAAATTTGGTAAATATAAACACGAGGCGTATTATAATTTAATGGAAAATTTTCACTTACACTTGAGACCATCGCCGTAAGCAACGCTGATACAGGATAGTGCGAAAAAAATGGAAATTAGCAATTTCATCATGATGCTTAATAAAGGTTATAGTACATGAAATACAAATATTATAAAGGAAAATATCAATTAAATTGATGTTGTTTATTCAAAGCAACCTTTATACACACTGGTATAGAAGGCTGTTTTCTTTCTAAAGAGATGAGAAGATTACAGACAACTATTCACAATGTACAGTCATTGGCCACTTTTTTTTTTTTCAAGTAAAAATTTGTTCTCTTTTGATTATATTCTTTCACTGCTACTAATGCTATTTGACGCGAATATTTTACTGTTTGATAGTTATCGAGGAGTGTGAGAAACTTGAGAATATTCTTTGTACTTTATTTAACAGCGCAAGCGTAAAACAGTCAGCTGACCAATGTGACTCAGTGAATATTCAGACTTCTAATGCTTTGTAGCTGATTGTCGTCGTTTAGTATAATACAAAAATTTTATTTGTTAAATTCTCATGCTCATTGTTTAGCACAGCGTCGAAGCGAGAGTATTCACGCTATTTGCTAGATAACAGCAAAAATATTTTGAAAAGGTACGTACAAAAATAGATAATTTTTTGAGAAATTTTTCAATAACAATTTTTACGTTTGTTCAATATTATTGTGTGCGCATCTCATCTAGATATATATATATTTTTTCTAAGAAATTTTTTTTTCGCACTATTTTTTTCATATTGAATAGTAGTTTCTGTTTATCGTTTCTTTTTAATTTCCGTCTAATATCATTTACGCAACAAACTATTATCTCTTTGTTAAGTGCGAATCTACAGTGAATTTTACACACGCGCATGTTGACGAAAACAAACAACCGGGATTTCACAAATGTTGGCAATTGCAATTTCTTCTAAGAATCGAAAATTAACAATTAAAAAAAAAAAAATCTTGATAAATTTTACTTTGTTTCATTTGATTCAGCTTGATGAGATTGTTTACTTTTTTTTTAAACTTCTAGATATTGTTTGAATAAAATATTGCTTTTATGATTAAAATGTTTTTAGAAGAAAGATTTTATGTATATTCAGCATAAATAAGTTGGAATGATTCAATAATTGTGAATCATAATTTCATATCATTTTCTATAGTATATAAATGTGTAGAGGAAATTAGTTGCGATAATAATGAGCAAAATTATTATTTTAATAATAACACAATAAAATATCAATTATTAAGCTTATCATCATTATGAACAGTAGGTCGTAAATTCTGGCAATAAATTGCTTACCTTTATTTGAATCGGGAAGAGTATGTTTAATTTGTGATATTAATCTGATAAGTTCTCACATATACAGAGTAGAGTATTTTTTTTTATCTGATGTACAAGTAGTTACAATTTTTTTTTCACCGCGCGATTATTCAATCTACACTAATCTCTATCATCGCATGTCAATACATAATTTGATGATTATAAAATCATCAGTAACAACTGAACAAATATTATAATTTGTTTCTTTTAAAAATAATAAAAATTTGTTTAAATATTTTCCTAATATATATATGTCAAATTTATGTTTTGGTTTTTATAATCTTTTACAACGAATTGACAAAATAGTGGATTTTAAACCTAAGGGTTGTTTTACATGTTCTATTTAGCATTAAGAGAATGTAATTGGTTCAAAATTGACCAATTAAATTTGTTTAACTGTCGAGTGTAAAAGAACCCTTAGTATATCTATTATTTAACAATCTGTCAGTATTTAACAGTTTATTTTATAATTTTTATTAATCATTTAGAGTCTCGATAGTAATTTATTTTTTGTATTGATATATAAAAAAGTTTTCAAAAATATTGTAATATTTTAATCTCTTTTTTTATTCTTTTAGAAAAATGTTTGCCTTTGTACTATTGAGTGTTTTAATTGTCTCTGCGTCTGCAGACACTTGTTATAAAGAAGTTCAAGATGCTTGTAGCACTGCTCCAAATCAAGGTATAACATTAATATTTATATAAAAAATATAATTTTTTAAAAAATTTTAATTTTTTTATATAAAAGTATTTTTTTAAATCTATTTTTCATCGATTTAAAAATTATTTAGGATAAATTTCAATAAAACTGAATTTAAATTATATAGTTTACGTCGATGAAGTTCACAAATTTTTAAATTGTGATCAATTATTAAATTATTATATTTTAAATTGATCAACTATTTAGAAGAAAAAATGTTTTCCTATGAAAATTAAAAGAAAAATTTATAATTTTAATTAAAAACTTTTATTTTTCGCGTGAAAAATGATTTTTTATTTTTAATCATTGTGAATGATTAAATTCATTCTAATATTTAAATTTTTAATTTCAAGTGATCCAACTTTAAATCAATTCTAATTTTTGTTGATGAAATGAAATTTATTTAATTTAAATATTAATCGCAAATACAATCGATCGAATAATTTAAAATTATCGAATTTCTATTTTTCTAAATATTAATCTTTTTAAGTTTCAATTTTAAAATTATCCTTTCGATGTATTTAAATTTTATTTAATCTAATGTTTTAAATTATCCGAATTTCAATTTATCCAAATTTTATTTAATTTAATTTTTAAGTTTACGCAAATTTTAAATGATTTAAGTTTCAATTTATTCAAATTTTGATTGATTATGTTTTTGAAATTGTCCGAATTTCAATTTGTCCAAATTTTAATTGATTTATAGTATAATTCAAATTATTCAAAATTTTGATTGATTATGTTTCAAATTGTCCGAATTTCAATTTGTCCAAATTTTAATTGATTTATAGAATATTTCAAATTATTCAAAATTTTGATTGATTATGTTTCAAATTATCCGAATTTCAATTTATCCAAATTTCAGTTGATTTAAATTTGAAATTATCCGAATTTCAAATTTGTCCAAATTTTAATTGATTGAATTTTCAAATTATCCGAATTCGTTTTTCAATTTGTCCAAATTTAAAATTATTCGAATTTCAATTTGTCCAAATTTTATTTATTTATTTAAATTTTGATTTTTTTTTTCAATTTATCCAAAATTCAATTTACCCAAATTTTAAACTATTAATGCTTCAGCTGTTGGTAAAAAATTTTAATTTTTTTTTACATATTTTCAAAAAAAAAAAAAAAAGATTCTATGATTTCTGTTCAAATTATGAAAAGATACACCTATTATAATAAAAAAAAAAAATTTTGTATAAACATATTTTTAAAAATTTATGTATAAAAATACTTTTTTAAAAAATTATTATACAACAAATATTAAATATAAAATAATAAATTATAATTATTCAATAGATGGGGCATTATTGAAAAATTGTAATGCCAAATATGGATTTTTTGAAAATATGCAAACTGAACTTCAGGCTTATACGAATGCACACATTGAATATAGTTTCGAATATTTATTAATGTCAACGCATTTTGGAAATTATGAAGCTAATCGAGATGGCTTTAAGGGATTGTATCGTAAATTATCGGATAATGCCTGGCAAAAGGCTATTGATATGATTCAATTTATCACCAAACGAGGTGGAGCAATGAATTTTAATCAATTGCCACATTTCAAAGAAACCGTAAGTTTTTATAATGTTGTCCTTTTAAAAAAGCTTCTTTTTTTCTAATTTCACTTATTATATAACAAAAAATTTTGATAAAAATGAAATTTTTTTTTAATTTTTTACTATAAATTATATTTTTTAAATAATAGGAATTGAAGTCAATAAATTAATAGGTATTATTATTAGGTTTTTTTTTTTAAATCGTTGAAAAAATAATTAGAAGAATATTTTCTCATCGATTTAGTTCATATTAAAAAATAATTTATTATGAAAATGAATTAATTTTTTAGGGATCAGAGTCACGTGTTTTGGAATTAAATGAAATCAGTAGTTTAGCAAAGGCACTTGACAATGAAAAAAAATTGGCCGAAGAAGCATTGAGACTTCATGCACAAACAAAAAATAATCCCAAACAAGACGCATCGGTTGCTCATTATTTGGAAGAAGAATTCATGGAATCGCAAGCGGATTGTATTAGAAAATTGGCCGGTCACTCAAATGATCTTAAAAATCTTTTACAAGATCGTGATGCATCTTTATCAATCTTCCTCTTTGATGAATATCTTCAAAAAACTCTGTAAAATAAATTTTTTTTCTTATTAAGTCAAACAATAAATTAATTCACTTCTTGTAAAAGTGATGTATTTATTGTTATGAATATTTTGTTACTCAATATAATATTATATATTTAAGTTAATTTGATATATCTTAGGGGATTTAAAAATGACAAATTTTATACATTTTTTTTTTAAAACGTAAGTATTTCATATAATGATTATAAAATATATATAAAATGTAATTGTAAAATTATTTTTTTTGTAAATTATAATTATAATCTACATAAACTAATTGATAATTAGGTACATTATAATTATAATTTATTATATTTAAAGTAATTTATAATTGAAAGACAAAATATAATTAAAAAAAAAAAAAATATGATTCAAAAAATATATATATTTCCCCAAAAAATATATCTATTCGAGATTTATGGATATAAGTTACTTTTTTTAAACGATCAAATTTGAAAAATTATTAAAATTATCGTTGATTATAGATAATATAAATAATAAATGTGATTTTCAATAAATTTTCATTGCGAAAAAGTTTTTTTATTATCCTTTGCAATCTTTTTAAATTGAAAAAGTAAATTTTTTATTAATTGAGTCCAAAATTTGCGAAGTGTGCCAATATTTTTTTGAGTAGATGAAATTTTTTCCATAAAATCCATAATTTTTTTTATGTAAAACAATAAAATACAAATATAAGTTAAACAGTTTTTTAAAATATGAAAATTTATACAATCTATTGTTATAATAAACATTTTCGTGTGGGATTTTACAAATTTTTCTTTTTTATATGTATTAATCTATGAAATTAATTTTTCTGACATTATTACTTTAAAATAACACTGATTGAATTAAAATTTTTCATTTTTTAAAAATATTAACAATTTATTTAAACAAATAAAAATTAATCTAACTTTTTCATATATATTTGCATTTAACATAATTTCTTTTTAAACGACTTTTCTTTTACACATTAGTAATTTTAATTTGGCAAATTTTTTTTGACAGAATTTTTATTTTACAAAATTTTTCTTTACCCAACTGTTTTTTTTTTTTTTTTGAATAATTCTAATTTAACCAAAATTCAGACAAGAATTGAATTTTACAGTATTTTTAATTGAAAAATGTTTTAAATATTTGAAATGTCAAGATCTTGATTAAAGTTATTAGAAATAATTATATTTCAACAAAAAATTTGAATCAAAATTTTTAATAATAATTGAATTTCAGGAGATTTTAAATTAAAATTTTTGTAAATTAGAATTGATGAAAATTATTAACAAAGTTTTAAACAGTAATTAAATTTTAGAGAATTTTTAATTAAAACATGTTTTACTTAATTTAATTTTTAAATAATTGGATAAAATTTATTGAAAGAAAGAAAGAAAGAAAGAAAGAATTTTAGATACAAATTTTTGAAATAATTTTAAATGGACCACAATGACTTTAGGTGAAATGTAATTAGATTGATATTTAATCTTCTATTATATTAAGTTAACAAATTTCGAAAAACGACACCGACCCCGTGACCTCGACACCGTCCTTGAAAAATCTATTTTCAATTATTTTCAAATAAATCAAAATACTTTGCATATATGCTTTTAGAAAATCTTACAATCTATTTTTATGTAACATCTTTTTTCAATTTTAACCCGAAAAAGGGTTATTTTTCAATTTTAACCCGAAAAAGGGTTATTTTGCAATTTTTTAAGAATTTTTTGATTTTTTCAATTTTTTATTATTATTTTTTATTATTTATTGTTGTTTTTTCGATTTTTAGTTAGTAACCTATAATATTGTGTCTAATTTTAAGTGTCATTAAAATCAAATGTTTTTAACTTAATAATTTTAACATTTCTTAATGAAAAACGAAACAACTTCTATTATATTAAGTTAACAAATTTCGAAAAACGACACCGACCCCGTGACCTCGACACCGTCTTTGAAAAATCGATTTTCAATTATTTTCAAAAAAATCAAAATACTTTGCATATATGCTTTTAGAAAGTCTTACAAACTATTTTTATGTAACATCTTTTTCCAATTTTAACTCGAAAAAGAGTTATTTTTCAATTTTAACCCGAAAAAGGGTTATTTTGCAATTTTTTAAGAATTTTTTGAATTTTTCAATTTTTTATTATTATTTTTTATTATTTATTGTTGTTTTTTCGATTTTTAGTTAGTAACCTATAATATTGTGTCTAATTTTAAGTGTCATTAAAATCAAATGTTTTTAACTTAATAATTTTAACATTTCTTAATGAAAAACGAAACAACTTCTATTATATTAAGTTAACAAATTTCGAAAAACGACACCGACCCCGTAACCTCGACACCGTCCTTGAAAAATCTATTTTCAATTATTTTCAAATAAATCAAAATACTTTGCATATATGCTTTTAGAAAATCTTACAAACTATTTTTATGTAACATCTTTTTTCAATTTTATGATAAATTTTATGCAATATTAATAAGATATTAATTTAAAACATAAATTATAAATATAATATACATAAACTACAATAAGTAAACAGCAATAAGTACAATTTTAGCCGAGCGAGCGTTAGCGAGCGAGGAATACATCGCTAGTTTAAATGAAAAAATGAAAGACATGATATCTAGTTTGTTCACAATTTATTAGAAACTTAAATTTTCATTTATTTGCACAAATAATTATAATTAATGATTTATTTCTAATTTTAATTTACTAATTTTCAATGGAAGTAATTTAACAAAATCTTTACAAACACTTAATTCAACTGCCATTAAATCCTTAGCATTTGAATCGCGTTCACAATAATTAACGAGAAATGAATATGCACTGTAACTTTTTTGTACATTTTCCAATTGTTGTTGTTTATCGGGTGTTATAAATTTATTATACAATCGACCACAATGAAAATAAGCACTCAATACTGGTCTTATCATTTCATCGGGAAATTTATTATTTTCAATGAAAATTTTTGAACTTTTTAATGAATCAATGAATTTTTCAAAATTTTTTATTGCCGATGCTGTTAAATTATTAATTTTTTTTAACATATTTGCCGTGGGACGTTCGTCAGTTGCTTGTAGACGATCTAATTTAATATCCAAAATTTCCGAATACGTTTCACCTAATTCCATCCATATTTGTCGACAACTACTTTGATAATATGTCTCGTGTAATTCTTTTAATACATCTTCCAACATATCAATTCGTCGTTTATGCATTTTTGCCTGTTGTCCTTCGTCATTGTGAAAAAATGCCAAATCTTTATAGGCCTGCGATTGATCCTGTATTAATTGAACATAATCAGATGCATGATTTTCCAATGAATAATATTGTTTTGCACTATCGATCCATTCGTTGATTTTGAAAAATATTAATTTTGCATCACTAAAATCAAGAAGATAATTATCTGTTATTTCATTGGCAATTGTTTCAATATTCTTTTCAATTGTTGTAAATTGTAAATTAATTAAACAATTTTTATCAATTTCACATTTTTTCATTTCCTCTTGTTCATTGTCATTTTCACTTTTAATTAAAAGACGTTCTTTTGATGCACTCAATAATAATATTCCATATTTTATCCAACATCGTGATATATCTGCACTTCTGTGTTTATAATTTTCTAATTTTGCCGCTGTCTCTTCATTTTCAACATCAGTTTCAATTGTTGTTAATGTATTTTGATAATTTTCAAGTATATAAGTTGCCGCCGATAAATAATGTTTCGCCTGTGAAAAACATTCTTTTTCAAGAAAAAATTGTGACAATGTCGCAGCATTTAATGACCAATCAATACTTTCAAAATCTTTATATTCCAATTGTCTTGATAATGTCATATGACAATAAATTGCTGATTTCAAATAATCTTCCAATGTACCATAAATTTGTGCCAAATAATATAATGTTAATGTATGTAATTTTTCTAATACTAATTTTGGTTCTTGTTCATCAATGAGTTTTATTAAAAATAATGTTGACATATTAATTGGTTCTTTATTGATATTTATAAAATCTTTATAAATATTTTCAGCGCGTTCTAAAAATGTTTTTGACATTGATGCTTGATTTCTTTGTGACCAAATTATACCCAATTGATTTAAAGCACTTATCATTGGTATTATTCTTTGTGGTAAAATTTCATTTTCACTTAAATTATCAATACAATTAATAAAATATTCTTCACCAAGTTTTAATTCTTCAGTTTCAACATAAACAATACCAAGATTTAATGATATTATTGCTAATAATGTATTTACATCGTTCTCTTCTTTAACAACATTATTTGATTGTTCTAAAAGTGAATTTTGCATTTCTTTTAAAATATTAATTGCTGCATATTTATTTTTATATGGTTTTGTCTCGTCTATTATTTTATCATCGGTATCTAAAAGTTTTCTTACTTGTGTATATTTCTCCTTTAGTTCAATTAATAAAGCATGGAAATCCATTATTTTTTTTTTCCTTTTTTGTGAACAATTTAATTAATTATTAAAACAGTAAGTATCTCTAGAATCTGTAAAATAAAATAAAATTATATTATAAATTAACATTGCTATTATCGTGAAAAAAAATCCATTATGCTTTTATTTGGAGTTAATTATATTATTATTGATAAATCCATATTAGATTTAAATTGTTTTTTTTTTTACAATAAAACTTACTGGGATTAAATTTCTATTACGTTTATATACTTATAATAACTCTTCTATTAAAATGTTCTCATTTTTTTCAATATTAGTGTTATTTATTTATTTTTTTTTTCAATAATATAATTAATTTAGGATAATGTCATATTTAAATGCCAGTTTTATTTTGATTGACTTTAGCATAGATGAGAAGCTAAATTGTTAAAAGCAGGGTTGAGAATATAATACAGAGGAATCCCTCTAGTTTCTACTTAACCGTTCTGATTAGGCTGTGTTCACATGACTGCGTTCAAATACTGCATTTTGCGTTGAACAATGAGAAAGAGAGAGACACCTATATACTTTCATCCTTGTTACATAAATTTTTTAAAGCAAAACATACAGTGTTCGAATGTAGTTTCCCCTATTACATGAATGATATCACATCACTGAATTTGATTGGCTATGACAAATATTCCATTTCCATTGTGAAAATAGAATATTGTTGGAGCCAATCAAATTCAGTAATTCTCCGTGATATAATACATAGCTCGTCGAAAACCAAGAAGGTATGTAAGCACCTTTAGTTTATAATTTTCCGTAAAAAAATTCAGATGAAACATTGTTAGGCTTATATGACCTTCCCTTTTCTGTTCTTGTTTTTCATACGTGTTGTCATGGCAACTAGTGCGTTAGAAAAGGACAAAAAAGTTTAGGTATTTCCAAAAAAAGGTGTGATCAGAGCCTAAAGGTACTTTTATACGATGAAAGGGAAAGGATATTGGGAACGGTGGTCTAGTAACAATCTAGTAACTTTGACCCATTCTCTCCCTCCATTTTGTTTTTTCTACTCTTTCTAACCTATTAGTTGAAGAGAGACAAAGAAAGAAAATGGAGGGAGAGAATGGGTCCCCACCAGATGGCGTATTGCAGTTTAGCCGATCCCAATACGGTGAAAGGGACCTTAGCTGCTCTTGACTTAAGGTCCCTTTCACCGTGGAGCGTCACATATCTATAATATAATATAACGTATAAGAACATAAGAGTGAGAGAAATAAGAACGTTTTTTATTTCTCTCACTTTTATACGTTATCTACCTATATTACAAAAAGATATCGCCGCCGCTGTTTCAAGACTCTGAATATAGCCGCAAGTCCACCCTCACTTCCCGTCAAAAAAGACCGAAATTTTGAAGTTATGTTCGTTTCAAAACTCTGAATTTAGCCGCAAGCCGTCCACCCTCCCCTCTCTCAGAATTTTTCGCCAAAAATGACCTAAATTTTGAGTTTATGTTCGTTTCAAGATTTTGAATATAGCCGCAAGTCCTACCCCTCTCTCTTCAACCCCGTTTAGGTGGTGAATTTTCCGCCAAAAATGGTCTAAATTTTGAGGTTATGTTCGTTTCAAAACTCTGAATATAGCCGCAAGTGGAGGTGGATTTCCCGCCAAAATTGACCTGAATTTAGAGGTTATGTTCGTTTCAAGACTCTGAATATAGTCTCGCAAGCCCCCCTGCCTTACGTTGAGGGGGAGGTGTATTCTCCGACAAAAATGACCTAAATTGTGAGGTTATGTTATTTTTCCGGGAAACGACCAAGAAGCAAACATAACGTCAAAATTTAGGTCAAAATTTGACGGGAAACGACCAAGAAGCAAACATAACCTCAAAATTTAGGTCAAACTTTGGAGGAAAATGACCAAAAAAACGAACATAAGCTCAAATGTAGGTCAAAATTTTGGCAGGAAAATTAAAAAAATTCGATAAATTTTGTTTTAAAAATTAAAAATAATAAAAATTATTATTAATAAAAATCATAAATAACATTTAAAAAAATAAATAATAAAATATTAATAATAGTTTTAAATTTCAGAAATTGTTCAAACATAAACTCAAAATAGGTCATAAAGACATTTACAAAAACAATAAAACGGGGGGAGGTTGGCGCGCAAAGCTCGCAGGGGGGCGAGGTCCCCCTAGTATTTATAGATAGGTAGCCTCGCTATCTATCGAGATGTAACCGTACCCTAACATACGTTGAAAACTTCGCGTTACGCATAACTGACCTATCACATTTCAAATGTTCTTCTCTGCGCGAAAAAAAAATTATGAATACACCTTTAAAAACAAAACTTATTTTACGTAAATAAAGAAATTTGTTTATCGCAATATACGTTATAATACGATTATTGAAGAATGAAGAGAAAATGGTGCAGTGATACGACATTTATGATAAGCTAAAGGTGTGTTGGAATATGTTGAGTGTGTGTTGGAAAGGAACATACCAAATTGTTTCTTGATGGCATATAAAGAATTTAAGAATCTTGTTCAATTTTATTACTAGTACACAATAGTTAGAAAAATTAAAGTAAAATATTGTTCATAGAATTCGTTAATGGCAGAGGAACATGAGTATGGCTATAATCCAACCGCCGGCGACGACGGGGATTGCGTACGTAATTATTTTCTTTTTTTTTTTGACAGTTTGACAAGTACAGGTTGGGTTTTTAAATTTGACAATTATTCCAAAATTCTTTTCGAATAATGATTTTAAATGTTTTCTTTTTAATAGTCAACACTAATTTCCTTTAGCTATTATTAGATCATGAATATTGAATTTTTAATTGTTGAACTTGTGTGTATATATATATATCTATATATCTACATATGTATATATAATATAGACACCTAAGGTATTTAGCTGTCATGAAATAATTAAGTATAAGCACTTCATTCACAAATTTCTAAGTTTTCACTTTCCAAGTAATGTTTTGACAATTATCAGTTATTTTTATCATCCAGTGATTATAATTTTGTTTGGCTGTCTAATAATATAATTCAATTTCACATTTTAAAAATGAATAAAAGAAAGAAACATTTTTAAATCGGATATTACGTTTTATATTATTTATTCTAGTTTGTAAATAAAGATTCCAAATTTGAAAGTTTATATATTTTATTAAGGAGATTTTTTTGTTTTGTTTATTACAATGTTTAGTCGGAAAAAAATAATAAAGGAAACGTTTTATCGATTGATATTTAATGATTTCTTACTATAATCCTACAATCTTAATCATTATCATTTTCATTCCGTATTGGCCAATGTGATGAATTTTCTGTAATATTATTAAAGACAAAAATTATTTCCTCACGTATAAAATTAAATAATTAAAGAGTGAAATAATTTAATTAATAAAAATTGAAAAATATTTTACGCTTATCATAAATGACCTTGAGAAAGTGAAAACTAATATTAATGTGAAGAGTATAATAATGGTAAAAATAAATCTCGCTAACCATATGTACATTACGTCATTCATTAATAAAGAATGAAAAAAAAATGAAATTCAAAAAATTTAATTAGTGAAAAATTAAAAAAAAAATAAGTGGAATAATGTGTATAGATTCTTAAATATAATCCCTAATTTAATTTTGACTGAAAATTTAGAAAAAATTGATTTTTTTTTTTTAGTTATATTTTTGTGTTGACCTACATTTTTGATGAAAGATATTTTGTAACAGAAATTTTCAATTCTTTTTTTTTTTTGCTTTAGAAATAAGTTTTTTTCTTTTTTTTTTTGAATAATTATAACTAGTTAATTATTGTAATTATTAATTTAGAGCGAAGAAGCAACGAGTAAGCTGAGACTGAAAGTAATAGCTGGACATCATTTAGCAAAAAAAGATGTTTTTGGTGCCAGTGATCCTTATGTGAGAGTCGATTTAAATACATTAAATGGAGATGAAACTGTGGATTCTGTGCTTACGAAGACGAAGAAAAAAACATTGAATCCAGTTTGGGAAGAAGAATTTATTTTCAGAGTGAGTAAAAATATTTTATTTTTCATTTATTTATATTTAGGAAATTTTTGGAAAAATTTAAGAAAATCAAATTTAAATTAATATAATCCTTGTATATAATTAATAGATTTTTCAATTTTAATTATCTTTACAAGGAAAAAAAAATTTACCTGGAACAGCGAAATCATTCACTAGAATAGCAAAAGTTTTAATCGTTTCAGTTAAATCTTTTTACTATTTTAGTGAAACCTTTCGCTGTTCCAGATAAAGTTTTTTTTTTCCGTGTAATTATTTATTTCCATAATTTAAATATTCATTTAAACATTGTATCTTTTTGTAATTAGTCGATTTTTTTTTATTTTAGGTGAAACCAGTAGAACACAAACTTGTACTTCAGGTATTCGATGAAAATCGATTGACCAGAGATGATTTTCTTGGAATGGTGGAACTGACATTGATAAATTTACCTAAAGAACAAGATGGACGAACTATTCCTACCAAACAGTATATTCTCAGACCGAAAAGGTACAATTTACTGTAATTTATTTTTTTTTTTTTTGTTTTCTATAAAATTTATAGTAGTAATAATAATAATACAAATAATTGAGTGGGGCGGTACAAATTCTACACAAATAAACCCTACACGAGTAAATTGTTTACCAATAATTCTACAAACATAAATCCTACACTTGATTATATATTGATCGAAATAAAATTAGTTGACAATTTTTTTACTCTTTACCATTAAATACTATATATAATATAAATATAATTCTACACTCTAACTTGTACATAAAAAACCCCTATACCAGGCTTCGGATTATACGACTTTTTCCGACTTTTTTTTTTTTTTTTAAATGCGACTTTTCGACTTTTTTATTACATTTCTTTAACAAATTTTTAAACAAAATACGTTTTTTTAGTATACAATACAGATCTTTTTCAGATCTTCTTTATTTCAATTATTTAACAAATTTTTAACTAAAACACTTCACTAAATTAATTATTTTTAATAATTTTAATGAAATTCTTTACAAATTCAATTGTCTTAAACTATTTTTCAATTAAAATTATACAAATTTTAAACAATTGTTTACAATTTAAAAAAAAAATTAGCATATAAAAAATTACAAAAAAATTTTAATTCAAAATTACTTGAAATTTAATTATTAGCAAAAATTTCAATTTAAAAGCTTCTAAAATTTAATTATTTCTAAATGTTTTCATCTAAAATTTTTTGAAATTTAATAATTTCAATTATAACGTTAGTTAGGGTAAATAGAAACAAGGGATAAATCGAAACAGTAATTATTTCAATTAAATAAAAATTTTTTTAAATAAATACGGCCTCAAACCTTGAACCTTAGATCACCCCCCAACAAGGTTTGAGGCCGTATTTATTTAAAAAAAATTTTATTTAATTGAAATAACTACTGTTTCGATTTATCCCTTGTTTCTATTTACCCCAACTGACCCTAACTCTCTTGAAATTCAATTATTTTTAATGATTTTTATAATATATGCTTCGAAAATTCAACTATCTGAAACCATTTTTCAATTAAAATAGTTTTCAAATTATTGTATTTTTGTCTGAAATTTCAAATAAATTTTTCAATGAAATCATGAAAAATTTTCAATTAAAAAAACACTTGAAATTCAATTAATTTCAAAAATCAAAATTGTTAATCTTTGAAAATTGAATTACTTTTAAAAAATGTCATCTAAAATTATTTTATAAATTATTATTAGTTCTGTAAAATTTAATTATTGTCTGAAAATTAACAAAATCTTTTGAAATTCAATTATTTCTAAAAATTTCAACTTTAACACATCCAGAATTATTATTTAAAAATTTGTAAAATTTGATTAAGTGTTACGAATGAATTTCGTAACTTTTTAAAATTTTCAATTTTAAATAAAAAAAAAACTTAAATTCAATTAATTATTATAAGATTTAAACCACATAGTGATTTAAATCCTCCTTCTAAATTATAATAAACATAAACATAATTAGTAAAAACATTAATAAAAATTATTAATAGAATTACACATAGATACAAACATTCAACACAAAGTAGTTTTTCTAATTAATTAATAAATAAATTTAGAATTAAGTAATTGTCCTTATTTTTTAGCATTGCTAAATAAATATCGAGAATATTAAGAAATAAAAGATAAAGAATCTCAATAATAGAGTAAAAGACTTCATTTTTAATAAAAGTTTCGTAAATAAATTTCAATCACTTTATAAATCAATGTACGTATTGAGCAACCAACATCGAAGTTGGATCACGCCACTACCTAAAATTGCAAGGTTGCAAGAAGCAACTTAGCCAGAATTAAATTCATTAATTTTTCCCACTCTTTTCGTCAATTAATAAAACCAATTGTCGATGAGTAATCGAGCAATCTTTCAGGTGTGGTCTCAAGTGGAGACGATGTATACAACCCACAGTTTGGGGTTGCTTGAAGTGTTCATTGTGAAAAAATTTTCTCAGTGGAGAATTAATTCTTTTAGTTTGATTTGAATATTGATTTTATCGATTTGATTTTGAATATTGATTGTATATTAATTTTGTGGATTGATATTATTGAATATTGATTTATTGAATATTGATTTTATTGATTGGATATTGATTTTGTGGATTGATTTATTGAATATTGATGTGATTTATTGATTTGAGGAGTTGTTACAAAGTTATTGAGTGGAATTTACGAATCTAATTAAAAATTTAGGATATTCAAAATAATATTAATATATTATAATATAATAATAATAATAATAATAATAATAATAATAATAATAATAATAATAATAATAATATTAAATAATAAAATAAATAATAAAAAACTAATAATAAATTTATAAATACTTAAATTTTTAACTCGGGTAATTAAGTTTTTTTTTTAAAATAATAATTAAATTATATCTTTGAAAATAATTGAATTTTCGAATATATTGAATCAAAAGAATTGTAATTAATTTAAGGAAGTTCTCTCCCTCCAACGTCAGTCAAATCAATACCCATTTAAGTTTTCATTTGTATCACGTAGTACTAGCTCAACACTTGGCAACGTTGGATTATATTTCCCCCGTTCCGTTTCGTGTCGTCTGCTATTGTTTGATTTATTTTCGTTAAATAATAATTTATTATTTTAAAAATCTTAATTTTTTTTAAGGAAATTCAAATTATTATTCATTATTATGAATCTTTGAAGAATATACTATTATATGTATATACTACTTATATTACTTTCAAATTTCGCGCTTTTTCTATACCTAACCTACAAGACGCAACGTTGCCAAGCGTTGTGCTAAGTAATTTCTGATTGTCAAAATACAATGTTTTTTTAGACAAAATAATTAATTGTGAGTCTCCTAAGCCAGGTCTGATCAATTTTATTAAAAGTAAGTGAACATTGGCTATTAAACTTTATGTATATAAAGTTCCAGTAATATTTTTTCGTCAGATTTTTCACAATTTTAGATTTCAGACCAAAAAATTCAATTTCCCATAAGAACCCGTGTTAAATGTGAAAAGAGAAAATTATTTATATCTTTTGTCAAAATCCACCTAGACCTCTAAAAATTTAACTACATCTTCTTTAAACCATTATCTATCAGTTTATCAAGTTTGATAATTAACTCTTCGTCATTTCTGTTTGCGAGAGAACTTCCTTAAATATCGTAAATTTTGATTGAAAGTTTTGAAAATAGGTATTTGAATTTTTAAAAAGAATTTCATTATAACTTTTGAAAATATGTAATTGAATTTTTTTTTTTTTAACAATTTGCATTGATCTTTATACAATGTTTGTCTAAAATAATTTTTATTTGTTCGAATTTTTATTTATCAAAAAAAAAAAAAAAAAAATTCGGAGTGGCTAATAATATTAGACCTATGCTCAGACGTCTTTTTTCTATCACGACTGTGTGAACCGGCTATTTCGCCCGTCGAAATGAATGTGTTTTAGAAGACGGGCAGAATAAGAAAAATAGATTATTTCGCCCGTTCAAGATAAAATCGAGTATCTGGAAGACGGGCGAGTATATTATTTCGTCCGTTAAGTATAGACAGCTGTTTTTTAGATAATGAGAAAAAATAATTTTACTTTTTTTAAATATAACAAATAAGATGGATAGAAAAAAGACGTCTGAGCATAGGTCTAATATTATTTATTTATATCTTTTGGAGTATTTGGTTTAATAAAATAGAAGAAATTTAAATAAAAAAAAAAGTTCTTAAAAATTCTTTAAATTCTTAAAATTAATACTTAATTATTTTCTATTTTTTTTCAAAAAATTTTATTAATTAAAGTTTTGAGAATATTTGTAACATAAAATTTGTTTGTAATTATTAACTTGAAGATTTTTCAAATATTTATTTTACACGTTTTTGAGACGTGACTTTAAAGAATAATAATTATTTTATCTAAGAAATTGTATTGGAAAAAAAATTAATATATTTATAGAGGTATTAATTATTCTTATTAAATAATTAAAAAAATTTAATATTTTATAGTAATGGTAAATAAATATAATTAAAATTATAAAAAAATTAATCTAATATTAAAATTATAAATTATAATTATTAAATTTAACTAATTAAAATTACGATGTTGAAGTCGAAAACAATTAAAATTGATCGTCATCGATTTAAAAATATTAATATTTTTTCAAATAATTAATAATATTTTTTAATATTTTTTAAAAATTTTTCTTTTAAAAATTGTTGACGAAAAAATTGCAAAAAATTTTTTCTTAAAAATTGAAAAAATCATTTTAAAAAATTTTTTTCATGAAAAATGAAAAAAAATTTTTTTTAATTTTGTTTATTAAACTTTGGTAAAAAAAATTGTGGATTTTAATTTTGTAATTTAAATAAGAATTCAAAAATCGACTATTTCTGAAATTTTTGTATATTTGCATCTCTAAATTCAACGAGTAAATAAAATTGAAGACAATCAAAATAAAGAATGTCATATGAACTACTTTCGATACCAAATAGATTTTCAAACAACGCACCGTCGTTTTCAATATTTAAAGAATATACTATACGGAGTATAATCTCACATTGATATATAAAACCATGATTCTGCTGAGAAAGAAATCAGAAAAACCCTTTTTTTTTATCGAAACACAAAAAATAAATGAGACCATCAAATTTGTTTATCAAATATATGATATTTAACATAAATTGCAAAATAAAAGTTAAAATAATTTTAGTTTGTAAATTGAAATATACAACAGCTGTTTATACCTAGCGGGCTAAATATTGTATTTTGATTATTTCGCCCGTTTTTGTTTAAACATTTCACGGACGAAATAATATACTCGCCCGTCTTCCAGATACTCGATTTTATCTTGAAAAAAATTGGGAAAATTATAATTGAAATTTTGTTTTCAATTCTGATAAGGTTTTTAAAATTAAAAAAGGTTTTGTTCTTGGTCACTGGGTTTAATCTATTATCTATGTATTAAAAAAAAAAAAATTTTGAAACAGTTATATAATGACATAATTTATGTATTTAGTAATTCTAGTCAGAAATCAAGAATTAAAGGCACTCTGGAAGTTTATCACGCCTACATCTCAGATTCTTCGAGTAATGTTGCCAACAATCATGCCGAAACATCTGATTCAGGTGGTTGGGAATTATTAGATCAACCAACTTCTACATCAAATAGTCCTGTTGAGCAACCAGCAGAGGTATTAATTTTTGTTCATTAATTAATAATTAATCGAAACTTCTATTATATATTTTCTTTTTTCATTTGTATAAAATTTAAAGATTTACATATTAATATTTAACTATTACTTTACCACAAGTTTTATTTGTAACTATTGTTAATTATATTAAATTTATTGTAAATAGGTGATACTGGTGAATAATCCCTTACCACCAGGATGGGAAGAAAGGCAAGATGCAAATGGAAGAACATATTATGTTAATCATGTACATCGATTTACACAATGGGATAGGCCAACGGCAACGTAAATAATATTTTTTTTTACTTATTTTATTTAGTTGTCTCTAATTAATGACTTTTGTAAAAAATAAAAAATTTTATATTAATAGAAATGCAGCACCAACTGGTGGTGTAACACAAGAACAACGAAATTTGGATACAGCAGCGACCGAATTTCAAAGACGATTTCATATTAGTGTCGATGACAATGAAAGTAGACAAAGAAGTTCAGTTATTAGTCAGATTAGCAATGTAAATAAATTCATTTTCTGTTATAATTAACATTATTATTATTATTTTTTATCTTGATTAATAATTATAATCAATATCGAATACTAATAATAGTTAAAAAAAAAAAAAAAAAACTAAAAGGAAACTAATATATTTTTTAGAATGATGATAATACGGACAGTCCAGCCGGTTCCAGACGATCATCTGAAATGGTAAGTAATAATTACTATTTTTTAAAACCTTTACCTTTACCCCTATACTTTATTCTTTACTTTGTGAAATTTCCTTATTTTTTAAAAAAAATATTCCTTCTTACACATAGCGAAATCCCCTTTTTTTAAAACCTAAAATTAAAACAAAAAAAAAAAGTCCACTTTCATCCTTGTAATAATGTTGATAATAATTTCTAAAGATTGTAATGGTGATTTAATTTGTTGTTGAAAATTCAGTTAGAAAGCCCGAGACCATCTCTGACATCAGTAAATGGTGAAGGACTTCCTCAAGGTTGGAGTATGCAATTAGCGCCAAATGGTCGAGTGTTTTTCATCGATCACAACGAAAGAGCAACAACATGGGTTGATCCACGAACTGGAATTCCAAGTCCAATGCCTTATTTCAATAATGCTGCTGTAAAAAATGATTTAGATCAACTTGGACCACTTCCCGAAGGATGGGAGGAAAGGATACATACAGATGGAAGAATATTTTTTATTGATCACAGTAAGTTTTACATATTTCTCATTGATGTGTTTCATTAATTGAAATTTCTTTTTCTTTATTAATGTTTCATTAAAGAAAAAGAAAAATTTTTTCTTTATTGCTGTATTATTAATATTATCAGGGTGTCTAACGGTCAGGCAAAAGTCAGGGAAAAATCAGGAAAAAGTTAGGGAATTTCTTTAATTCAAACCTCGGATCGACTTTAAGGCACAAAAAAAGTTATTTTAGTCGATTTATATTCAAAAAAAAAGTGAATTTTTTTATTTTAAAAAAATTTAATTGGTTAATGAATATTTTATTAATTCTGTTCTGACAATAATTCTATAAAAATATTATCAAGAAAATTTTTTTCCATTATTTCACAATCGAACTACTTGTAAGACAAATTTTCAAAATTTTATTTAAGGCCATGTGAGAGAAAGACACTTTTTGGTAGTTCCAAGTATTCTCGGAAATGAGAAGAAATTTCGGGTTGAAATTTTGAGGAATGATAAAAAAGGGTTGAAGGAATTGGTCCGTTCTACTTATTTACTGTAATTGAATGCGAAATAATTTAAAAAGTAATTAATAGTGGAATTAATAGGTTTTTGTTATTTCTTTGAGCGGCCACTAACTCGAATTGGCGCTAGTTCCTGGACCACTGATATATTCACGCAACGTCTGTGTGTACCCCCGCCATGTTGAGTTCAACTTTCGTTCAAAAATGGGAATTTTCAAACTTTTATTTTTAATACTTAAACGCAAAATATTGCTTCAAACCGAGAACAGCGCCATTCTGAATGCTATTCTCTATCATATTTTACAAATTTCAACCAAAAATTCTTTACCATTTTAGAGAAAACTTGGTAATACGATACCATGTTTTTTGCATGGGGGTCACGTGGGTATTTCCCACATGGCCTTAAGTAGAACAAATTTCCAAAAAAATTCTTGAAGTTATAGTTTTGATGGTCAAAATAATTTCATGCAAAAACTTAATCAAGTTTTACAGATTTTTTATAACAAAGTTTTTTTAAATAATAATAATTTTGGAAGAGTTAAAGTTGAAATTTTTAGAAATTATTGAATTTCAAAAGATTTGGTTAATTTTCAGACAATAATTAAATTTTACAGAACTAAAAATAATTTATCAAATAATTTTAGATAACATTTTTTAAAAGTAATTGAATTTTCAAAGATTTAAAATTTTTAGAAAAAATATGTTGAAAATAATTGAAGAATTTATTAGAAATTATACACAAAAATTGAACTTTAAAATTTTTTTCATTACAAAATGCTTTCAGATAATTGAATTTTCGAAGAATATTATAAAAATCATTAAAAATTTTTGCAAATAATTTAATTTCAAGTGATTTTGAATTTAACATTTTTCGTAATTTTATTTGCCATTTTTTTTTTAAATTATAAACAATTATTATATTTCATAAAAATTTTAATTGAACAATAGTTTAAAATAATTGGATTTGTGAAGAATTTCATTAAAATTATTAAGAATAATTAATTTAGTGAAGAATTTTAGTTAAAAATTTGTTAAATAATTGAAATAAAGAAGATCTGAAGAAGATTTGCATTGTATCCTATACAACGTATTTTGTTTAAAAATTTTGTAAAAAAAAATTTTAGAATTTTCATTTTATGGAATTTCATTTGTCATAATTATTTTTGAGTCGAATTTTTATTTATTCTAATAAGAATTTTGCAGAATTTTCAAACCGATTTTCTATATTAAAGAATTTTTTTATAACCGAAAATTCACTTCACAAAATTTGTATTTGTTCTAATTTTTATTTGATAGAATTTCATTGCATAGAATGTTCTTTCAGATGAAATTTCATTTGTTCGAATTATTATTTGATATAATTTCAATATAACTGATTTTTCATACTACAGAATTTTTACTTAAGGGTATGTGGGAACCTCCCACGTGACCTAGTATGGGAAAATGTGTTTTGGTAGTAGACATTTCTCTCTTAAATGAGAAAAGATTTTTGTCTAAAATTTTGAGGGATGATACAAAATACAAAGATGGCGGCGCATACACAGACGTTGCTTGAGTGTGTCAGTGCTCCAGTAAACAATAATGATTAAATACATTATTTTACTATTTATTTCATTATTTTTATTATTTTTGCGTTAAGTTATGGTAAATGAGTAGAACAGCGAGATTCCTTGTACCAAACAAAAATATTTCGCTAAAATTTTAACCCGAAATCATTTTTTATTTCAGAGAAAGTTTCAAACCACAAATAAACGTCCTTTGCCCACATACCCTTAACTAAAATTCGATTTAAAAGAATTTCTATTTAGCAGAACTCTTATAAAGCATTTTTTCTAATACTTTTTTTAAATTTTAAATTAATATAATTTCAATTTAACGAAATTTATGTCTAAATAAATTGACAAAAAAAGAACTAAGTAGAATTTTTCTTAAATAAGAATTAAAATTTTCTTTAATAAAAACTTTGTTAAATAGAAATTCTGTTAAATAAATATTTAGATAAATCAAAATTTACTAAAATAACAATTTTGTTAAAAAAATTTTTCTTTATGCAATTTTTCTTGACATAAATTCCGTTAAATTGAAATTGTATTAATTTGAAATTCGATGTCCTACTAGAAAATCTACTTTATATAATTTTACTAAATAAAAATTTGTTAATTTAAAATTTCGACGCCGTAAAAATTCTTTTTAATTAAATGTTGAGAATATTTATACGTTCCCAATTAGTATATTTATTTCGCTTAAATATTTTATTTTTTACGAAATATTATTTATTTGGTTCAAATACATATGAAATTAGTGGATAATTAGACAGGTAAAAATGATTTTAATTGTATCAAAATAAATTTTATTTGATCAAAATAAAAACTTTTTAGTGTAATTTAGGTCAGGGAAAAGTCAGGGAATTTTTTTCCTAGCAGTTGTTAGACACCTTGATTATTTTAATTATAAGGGTCATTTGGTGTAAATGTAAACAGTTTATGTTTGAGATTAATTTAAAGATTTAAAATCAAGTACGACGACAATATTTAAAACGCAGCTCACCTGTACGATTTCTAAAAATCGACCAGATCCGTATTCAGCGACCTCAAAAACTCTCGATTAAATTGTAATCCTATATTATAATTATTTTTTTTTTTTTTTATAAATACCTACTATTTTTTAATGTTGAATAAAATTTAATCATTTATTTATTTTAGATACCAGAACAACACAATGGGAAGATCCTCGAATGTCTAATCCACAAATTGCCGGTCCAGTAAGTAAATTTTATATTAATTTTAGTAAAATTTAAATTAAGTTGAATAATATTTGGTATTTTACTAAAAAATTATGTTTCTAGGCTGTTCCTTATTCGAGAGATTACAAAAGAAAATATGAGTACCTGAAGTCACAGTTAAGAAAACCTGTAAGTGTAATTTTTTTTAATTTTCGATGAATTTAAAAATATTTGAATAATCAAGATAAAATTTATGACTATATAAATTTTTATTTACAGAATAACGTACCTAACAAATTTGAAGTTAAAGTCATCCGAAGTAATATTTTAGAAGATTCCTATCGTATAATTAGTTCAGTTAATAGAGTTGAAATTTTAAAAACAAAACTGTGGGTAGAATTTGAAGGTGAAGTTGGATTGGATTATGGAGGACTTGCGAGAGAATGGTTCTTTTTATTATCAAAAGAAATGTTTAATCCATATTATGGTCTTTTCGAATATTCTGCTATGTAAGTAATGTCTTATTTTTTTTTCTATTTTTCATATAATTAACTTTTACGCTTAATATAAAATATTTGAAAAAATAAATTCCACTTTCAGGGATAATTATACACTTCAAATAAATCCTGCTTCTGGTGTTTGTAACGAAGAACATTTAAATTATTTCAAATTTATTGGCCGAGTTGCTGGCATGGCTGTTTATCATGGAAAACTTTTGGATGGTGAGTTTTAAATTGATAGAACAAAAATATTTTATCATAATATGATATAAATTTAAAAAAAAAACATACTTAAATTTTCGAATATTTCATATTAAGATTTTTAGAGTTTATTGAATTTCAGAAGTTTTTAAATTGGAATTTTTTGTAAATTTGAATTGCTAAAGATTTTTTTATTTCCAAATTTTCAACTACAATTGAGTTTTAGAAAATTTCTAATTAAAAATTTTTGCAAATAATTGAAATTTCGAAGAATTTTTGTTAAATTTTTTAATAATAATAATTATTATTATTATTTCCAATAGGTTCCATTAGGTTCCAATAATAATTATTTAATAATATAACTTTTTTATAAATAAATAAATTTTGTTGAAATAAAAATTAATGTGTTAAAAGTAATAATTTTAATTTGATAATTATGCTTAAATAATAATTAAATTATTGTAAATGATTATTGAATTTTTTGAAAATGATAAAATTTGCAAAAGAGTTTTAGTTAATTTTTTTTTTGTAAATAACACAATTATATGAATTTAATTGCAATGAATCAATGTTTAAGAGTTGCAATTAAAAGTTTTGACTTTGTATATTTTTAAAAGATTTTAAACTAAAAATTTTAAAAATAATTCACCTATCGAAGAATTTATTCAAAATTATGAAATAATTAAGTTTTCTTTAAATAATAATAATAATTTAAATTATATTTTTGAAAATAATTGAATTTTCGAATATATTGAATTAAAAGAATTGTAAGTAATTGAAATTTCATTAAAAGTTTTGAAAATACGTAATTGAATTTCTTTTTAAGAATTTGAATTGTTCTTTATAAAATGTTTGTTTAACAAAATTTTCATTTAATCGAATTTCCATTTATCACAATTATTTTTAATAGAATTCACATTTGATAAAAAAAAAAAAAAAAGAATAAAATTCGAAAATGTCTGGAAAAAACACAAAATATTGTCAGGAAGTCAGGAAAATATCAGAAAAAATTATAATGAAAATTTTGTGGTAATCTTGATAATGTAAATAAAAATTGTATAATAATATTTTTTTAAATTGTATTTGAATTTTTTTTGCAAAATTTATGAGAACTTGTTTTTTTTTTGCTTTGCAGCCTTCTTCATTCGACCATTTTATAAAATGATGCTGGGAAAAGCGATTGATCTTAAAGATATGGAAAGTGTTGATTCTGAATATTATAATTCATTATTGTGGATAAAAGAAAATGATCCAAGCGAATTGGAATTGACATTTTGTGTTGATGAAGAAAGTTTTGGAACAACATCGCAAAGAGAACTTAAACCTAATGGTGTAAATATATCATTAACAAATGAAAATAAAGACGAATATATAAGTTTAGTTATACAATGGAGATTTGTATCGCGTGTACAAGATCAAATGAATGCATTTCTCGAAGGTTTCAATGCCCTTGTTCCATTGACATTGGTGAAAATATTTGATGAACATGAATTGGAATTGCTCATGTGTGGTATTCAACATATTGACGTTAAAGATTGGAAACAAAATACATTATACAAAGGTGACTATCATGCAAATCACATAACTGTCCAATGGTTTTGGCGAGTTGTACTTTCATTTAATAATGAAATGAGAGCTCGACTATTGCAATTTGTCACGGGAACATCACGTGTACCAATGAATGGTTTTAAAGAATTATACGGAAGCAATGGACCTCAATTATTTACTATTGAAAAATGGGGTACGCCTGATAATTATCCACGAGCTCATACATGGTAAGTTTTATTATTTTATACATATGAAATTTAGGCTACATATGGGTCGGTTCATGCCAAAATTATAAAATTAAAATTTACTATATTTTTTGAAATTTAAAAGTTAAAATCTTGTTTTTAAAACTGTTTGTATCCTTCGATTTAAAAAAAAAAAAACTATTTCCTTTTACAAAAATTTTAAGCCTAGTCCGGTTGTGGGAAAACAAATTTTTTTCAATATTTTCGGAATTTTTAAAAATTTTCGATTTTTATTTATATATCTATACTTATAATATTTTAAGAAATTCACGTAAATCCTTTATTTTGTAGCTTTAATCGAATTGACCTTCCACCATATGAAAGTTATCAACAACTCAGGGACAAGCTAATAAAAGCGATTGAGGGATCTCAAGGATTTTCAGGAGTAGATTAGCGGAAAATATCATTTCCCATTATGATGCCTGTAATATAATGTATATAAATATATATAAAAAGAATATATATTATATACACGTATATATATATACATATACATATACATATGGGATGTCCGTAAAAAAATTTAAATTCTTTTTTAAGTCTAAAAATATCAATTTTTCTTTTATAAAATAATATTTTCTGCATAATTTTTTATTTCCATTTTTAGGACATTTAAAAATTAATTGAGTAAAGTGAAACTTCTCAAAAAAAAATTTTGATCTTGCAGTGCATAATAATAATCATAATTAATATATATATATATATTTATTTATAGAAAAATTAAAATAAATAAAAAAATAATAAACACAAAAAACAATAAAGAGAAAATTAAAAATGTTTTTAAATTAAATTTTATGTAATTTTAACAAAATAAATTGACAATGATTAAATATGAGAAAAAATTGTTTTTTCTCGTTTCATATGGACACTCAAATAATTATATTTATATGTATATATATTTATATAATTTACACATGAATTCACTTTATATAGAAATATGTATTATTATCCTTTTAGAAATAATTTTAATTTTATTGTTCTGATTATGATTTTGTGCAATTGATATAACAAAAAGGATATGTTTATTTATTTTATTTTTTTTTTTTTATTTTAATAATTGTTGCACCTCATGTATCAGTTTCCAAAACAACAGTGTTTTAAATATTTACAAAAGATTTTAACTTCTGTAAAGTTTGATATTTTGTGTGAATTACTTATTTCAATATAAGTAGAAAAAAAACAACCTCCCGTTAAATTCTTTTGCAAATATAATGTTGTCAGATTTTGTAATTATTATTATTATATATTATTATATTTTTGTCAAATATTGTTAAACTTTTTTTTCATTGTAAAAAAAAGATTAATCTTGCTTTTATATATATATATATATATAGAAAAATCGGAGCAAAAATTATTACTATGCATATATATATATATATATATAACGTTTTTAATTACATTCTAATTATTTTAATTAAATTTTCAGTTAAATCTGATAGAAAATATTTTACAAATATATATATTTACAAGTTTAATTTTATAGTTACATGTATTTATTATCATTAAATTAATAGATTTATTAATTTAAGCTCAGTATACATAATTCAGTTTATTGTTTTTAATTAATATATATTATATAAGATTAAGCTGCTCAAATGTTTATCGGCAGCTGTTTTAATTCCTCATGGAAATTTCATACTTAATCAGAAAAAAAAACTTGTTAAAAATTTATTCTAATTGCAACCTTTGAAGGTATAGATATCATTTATTGCACCTAAGGATAAAAAGTATTTTTTTTTTTTTAAATATAATTACAAGCTAATCATTTACTTATGATTGAATATAAGAAAAATGCAATGATGTGTCTGGTTAAAAAAAAAATTAAATTATTTTTTAAGCCTGTTAAAACTTTGCACATCATGATAATGAATGTAAATATTTGCGTAAAATCGATTGGATTTTAGTGTGTAATTAATGTACACTTTGGATGATAAATTTTGCAAGTGTTCTGGAGTTAATTGAAATTGTGTATACATATGTATTCAAAATGTCTATGAAGTACATTTTGAAACTTCCACCAGAGATAGGAAAGTTTAATTAAAAAAAGAAAAAAGAAAAAAAATTTAATGTTAAGTATTAAATTTTATTTTGTAAAAAATATATTTCTTTTTTAATGTTAATAGACTTTGTGAAACAAAATGAGTGAAAAAAAAACTTGTAAAGTCAAAAACAAAGTTATTGATATTTTAGAATATTTCTTCGTACACTTGTAAATTCTAAGGTTTATATTTCTTATTCGTTATATCTCTATGTAACTCATGTTACAACAAAACAAAAAAAAAAACAGACAATTGTATAAAAAAATCTTCAAAATTATATTATTTATAAAAAAAAAAAAATTAAAAAAAGGTGCCTGAGAACCAATATTTTGTAAGACATGTGTGAAAATGCTAGCAATCCAGAAAAATGTATTAAATCTTTAAATACCGTCAATTTAAAAAAAAGTCAAGAAACATTTCCCACCCCCTCAAAAAAAAGACAATTTGAATTTCACAGCTTTAATAACAAAATTATTTAGATATGTTACTTTATTAATAAATTCTTATTCTATAATAATATAATATATATATATATATATAAATATATTCCAAGCATTCCGTATACCTATTATATTTTGACATGATTCAGATTGTAAAATTTACACTTTTAATAAATTAACATTTTCTCTGAAAATTATAAAAAAGAAAAATATCTCGTATTTATTTAAATATGCCCTACCTTATCGACTGATGGTAAAACAATAAAATAAAAATATATAAAAATACTTACTTGCAGTAATCTACTTTACTGACTAATGGTAAAACAGTAAAAAGAAAATATTAAAAATAACGATGTACAGAAATCTACCTTACCGACTGATGGTAAAACAGTAAAATAAAAATATAAAAAATACCTATTTGCAGGAATCTGCCTTACCGACCGATGGTAAAACAGTAAAATGAAAATACAAAAAATTACCTACTTAAAGGAATCTACCTTATCGACTGATGGTAAAACAGTAAAAATGAAAATATTAAAAATACCCAATTACAGAAATCTACCTTATCGACTGATGGTAAAACAGTAAAAATGAAAATATTAAAAATACCCAATTACAGAAATCTACCTTATCGATTGATGGTAAAACAGAAAAATGAAAATATAAAAAATAATCTACTTGCAAGAATCTACCTTACCGACTGCTGGTAAAACAAAAAAGAACAATATAAAAATTATTGGCGTAGAAATTAACCTTACCTACGTATGGTAAAACAGTGAATATAAATAGAAAAAAATACTTTTTTCAAGATATCTACTTTATCGACTGATGGTAAAACAGTAAAATGAAAAGATAATAAATACCTATTTGCAGGAATCTACTTTACCGACTGATGGTAAAACAGTAAAATAAAAAGATAAACATACCTATTAGCAGGAATCTGCCTTACCGACTGATGGTAAAACAGAAAAATGAAAATATAAAAATTACCTACTTGCAAGAATCTACCTTACCGACTGCTGGTAAAACAGAAAAAGGACCTTATAAAAATTATCGGCGTAGACATCTACCTAACCGACTGATGGTAAAATAGTAAATGTAAATATTAATAATAACCAATTACAGGAACCTACCTTACCGACTGCTGGTAAAACAGTAAAATGAAAAATAAAAAATAACCTACTTACACGAATCAACCTTGCCGACTGCTGGTAAAACAAAAAATGACAATAAAAATATCGGCGTAAAAATCTACCTTATCGACTGATGGTAAAACAGTAAATAAAAATATATTTACTTTTCGGCTGATGGTAAACCAGTAAAATGAAAATATAAAAATTAGCTACGTGCAGGAATCTACCTGACCGACTGATGGTAAAACAGAAAAAGAACCAGATAAAAATTATCGGCGTAGAAAACTACCTTACCGACTGATGGTAAAACAGGAAAATGAATATATAAAAATTACCGAATTTAAAGGAATCTACCTTATCAATTGATGGTAAAACAGAAAAATGAAAATATAAAAAATTAGCTGCTTGCAAGAATTTACCTTACCGGCTGATGTGAATGCAGGAAAATGAAAATATAAAAAATTAGCTGCTTGCAAGAATTTACCTTACCGACTGATGTGAATGCAGGAAAATAAAAATATTTAAATTAATCTGAAATTAATATAGTAACAAGGAAAATATGAAAGGAATATATAAAGTAAAAAACAACGATAATTATTTTTTATTACCTAATCAAATTTATTTTTACTTAATATTTCATGATACAATCTATCGTATTATTGTATAAAGTAAGTTTTTTTTTTATTTTTAAAAAAGTGTATAGAAAGAAAGAAAAATAATATATTGTATATTAATTATAAATAGCGACAAGAAAAATCAAGGTTTTTTTTTTATTTTCTGAAAGATTGTAGAGTTTGTCATATTTTAAATATATGGAGAGAACGTAAAAATTGAAAAATATATTAATTATGTTTTTTTTTTTTTTTGCCAATTCGCATTGATTAGAATGATTAATTTTATGGTTTATATATAAAGACTAATGAATGCATACTATTATATTGTACTTAATTCATTAATCTGATAGCAACTTTACCTTCTAATCGTACTAAATATAATATTTTGTAATGCAGTAATTATTGTTAATTGCGTAATTATAACATTACGGAATAGTTGCTCAAAATTATTGTAAAACGATAGTATAAGATATTTTTTTTTTTTTGTGATTTTTCGACTTTTTTAAATGTATCATGTAGTTAATAATCACAATAGCGTATTCTGAAAAATAGATCAGGATCCTACGGTCAGAGTGCGGAGCATTCCGTTATTTATTTTTTCCTTTTCTTTTCTTTTTTTCTTTAATATAATAGGAATCGTATGCGGCTTATATATGACTGCGATGAAAAATACAAAATTAAAAAAAAAAAAAAAAAAAAAAAAAAAAAAAAAAAAAAAAAAAAAAAAAAAAAAAAAAAAAAAAAAAAAACAATACGAGAATAAAACGCAATGAAAAGAAATTTTCTATATAAAAAAATCTTCGAGTAAATGCTATATTTGTCATTTAAAATAAGCCTCTCTCGATTTTTTTGATGGTAAAAAATACTAGTCATTCTCTTAAAGTATTCGGCAAAATTATGATGAATTTTTTATTCATTCGCATGTTTTAATTTTAATTAAAATTATTTTTTTAAATAGGCGAAAACAAGAAATTTTTTTAAAATTATATTTCAATTTTTCTTTAAAAATTTTAAATCAAATTTAGGTTAGGTTGTGTCAGTCAAGTTTCACAAATAAAAAAAAAATGGCTGAAATTCAATTTTATTTCCTTTCCTGTTTTTTTGCCAAATGAATGAAAAATCCTCATTGATGCCGATTATTAAGTCGCATTGACGACAATGATATGAAAGCAGTATACAGTATTTCAAATAACATCACTGTATATTTTGTTATACTTGGATTACCTGAGTTATAAATTCAATTATTCAATTTTTTTTTTTGTTTACAAATTGAAACGCATTTTTTTTCAACTCCGGCACTCTGTCTTTAGAACCCACTATAACAGGGCACTATGAACAGCAGTCTGCTGGCTAAATAACTTTTCAAATCTACAGTTATTCCACTTTTCCTGCCAGTGTCAGTTTTTTTTTTTTCATTTTTTTTCTCTCTTCTATCTTTCAATGATTTGTATAATCCGTGACTTTCATTTTCTCACAGATATACCATCTTTTTTTTTTTTTTTTTTTTTTTTGTAAACATTAATATAATTAACGTCTACGATCTTTGCCCCATAACCATACGAAAGAATTCAAGCTTTTTTATCATTCGCAACGAATAGGTTTTTTTTTCTTTTTTTTTTTAATAACGACTGGTAATATCGCGTATTCTTACAACCATATACATTTCACTATTAATAATAATAATAATAATAATGGTTGAATGTCCATAACGCAAAAAAAAATTACTTTTTTTTATTTTTCAGTCGTGCATTTCGGTATCAGTGCATTAAAAAATAATTATTTAGAACCACAACTTTAATGAATTATTTGTTTTTTTTCACCCGATATCAATCGTTTCGTATTCGCATCTTATTCTCAATAGTATTTATTATGAAAACATATGATTTATATATTATCTTATAAAAATAGGCTGAAAGAATTGATTAAAGTTCTTTTTTTGTTATACAGTCTCGAATCATTTTGCGCGCGACTTCTTTAATCTTCATCAATCGTCTATATAGAAAGAAAGCCTTCTTTTTCCATCTTTTTTTTTAATCAAGTGAA